TGAAATGAAAGAAAATATTGAAATGGAAGAAAAAAATGAAATATCTGAAAATATACAAACAGAAAACGACTCGAATGTATTACTTATAAATAATCAATTAGAAGAAACATATTCGAAATCTAATAATGAATTTGAAGATACACAAACGTTAGAAAATAAATCGAATACAGGAAATAAGAATTTAGAAAAATGCAATGCTGAACAAATAAGCTCTATTGAAACAGATGATTGTGTTAAAGAACAAAACAAAATTTGGAATATATCTGAAATTGAAAATATCAATTGTACAGAAGTAATAAATGTAACTGTTCGAAATAATAATAGTATGAACAAAACAGAAGATATTCAATCAGATTTAATACTACAAACAGATAAATTAGAACCAGTAAAAGAAGCAAATGAAGAAGAAAATTCAACAGAATTTTCTACTACTCTTAATTTGATTGATCCAAAAACAATATCTATTAATACTGAAACTCTTGATTCAACATACACAGAGTCAAATATTACAAGCACAATAACATCGTCGGTTATTTCAGAAGAAGACATTTCTAATAATGATATTGATCCTAATTATGTAGAAAATTTAATTGAATCTAGTTTTAGTTCTAAAGATAATATCACAGAAAATTCATTGGTCGAAAGTAGTCATTCTTCAGATAACAATAAACCTTCAACATTTACAGACACTGCGGAATCTGCCATGGAAACATTGGATGTATCTGAATTTAAATCAAAGCCTGATTGCATACTTCCTGATGATCCGGAAGTATTAGATACTTGTGTATTTCAAATAGAAAAGAATCATTCTTCTAAAAATATTACCATTTTAAACGAATCTATAGAATCAGTGCAAAATGTGATCGATAAATCTGATAATAAAATTGATACAATTTCTGATTCTGACAAAAACGCAATCAATGAATTTCAAGACACAAATAAAATGGAAGAAAATGATAAAAATGATGTGGATACAGAGCAAAGTTCATTTCAAGTACCTATACAACAAATTGATGAAGTTTCATTAATAGAAACTGATAATAAAAATAGTAATTCTGAACAATTAATTAAAATAGAAACTGAAATTCATGAAATAAGAGAAGAAAAACAACAAATTCAGGATATATGTACATTTGTAGAAGATATGGATAAAGATKAAATTTMASMWAAAWTAWTGGATGATAATAAGRCATCCTTTTCTTTGGAAGAAGMTAAAATAATGGATGATAATAAGRCATCCTTTTCTTTGGAAGAAGATAAAATAATGGATGATAATAAGACATCCTTTTCTTTGGAAGAAGATAAAATAATGGATGATAATAAGACATCCTTTTCTTTGGAAGAAGATAAAATAATGGATGATAATAAGACATCTTTTTCTTTGGATGAAGATAAAATAATGGATGATAATAAGACATCCTTTTCTTTGGAAGAAAATAAAATAATGGATGATAAAATAATAGATGACAAAATAATAGATGATAAAATAATGGATGATGAAATAATAGATGATAAAATAATAGATGATAAAATAATATGTGAGACAAATGAAGAAAAAGATATAGTGTCCCCAAAATTATTAGATGACAGTAAGAAATTATCATTTTCTCTCGAAGAAAATAAAATAATAGAAGATAAAATAATAAACGAGACAAGTGAAGAAAATTGTGATATAGAAAATACATCCAACATAGATGACATAAAATATAATAAAATTTTGAAGAATAATGAGCCTATAGTTGATAGAAAGGAAAACTTGGAAGAAGTTAATAATGAAGATCAAATAGATCAAAGTAAAAAGATATTGGAAAAGGAAATGGATTTGATTACAGATATGGAAAAAATAGATTTGTCTATTACAGAATGTACATCTAATATCGACGAAAATATTACAACAGAAGATATAAAAGAAGTCAGTCAAGAACCGAATGACATACTAGAATTGAATGTTTCTACTTCTTTCAAAAGTACGAATACTGATTTTCAAAATATATTACAAAAAGAAGAGAAGGATGGAACTGTAGGAATGCTATTATGCAAAACTAATGATCCTATTTCTATGTTATCAGAAAGCTCTGTTTTATTAATGAAAAAAGAAAATGAAGAAGATAGTATACAAAATTCTATTTCAGAAAATAATCTGATAAATATTCTTGATGATACACCTAAAGTGACAGATATGTTTTCAGAAGAACAATGCCCAAATACTCAAGATATTGTGGAAAGTATTTTAGATAATGTAACGGATGTAGCTGATCTTAAACATCTTTTAAGTCCTGAAAATAATACAAGAAATGGAAGTGACGATGATCTTCAGCAATCTGTGGAATTAGCAACAGTGGAAAATGAAGATAAAGAATTAGTTGAAAAATTGTCTGAAGTATCATCTGATATATTGAATAAAGAAATAGAAGATCCAATAGAAGCATCGAACTTAGACTCACTGGAAGAATTATTAGATCTTGATTTAATACCTGAAAGTGAAGAAGTAGCAATGAAAGATGAAAAAGTAGACAAAATACAAGAACAAGTAGAAACAATAGATAAAAATGTAAATATAGCACTTTTCCTTCAGCAGCCTGAAGAAGTATCATCTATACCAGAAAATTCAGATTATATAGATCACGTTATTAATAATTGTTTAACGGATGGAAATGATGTATCATTGGAAGAAACAACTGATAAAATAAATATTAAAGAATGTGACCAAGATAAAGAAAATGTAGAATGTAAACCAAAAGAATTATTGAACATCAATGATAATACAATAACTGCTTCTTTAAATAAACATTCAGATGATATAAATTTACAAAAACAACTGGATGTAGATAATTCTTTACAAGATAATAATCTTAATATGGATTATGTTGGAAATTCAGTGGAATCTGTAGAACATTTAGGAGAAGAAACTTCTAAATTAGAAATTTCGCAAGATATCCTTTTAGAAAATATAAATGAAGATGAAGAACATCTGAATGGGATTTCTCTTGATATAGACAGCAATCAGGCCGCTCCAGATATTTCAGAATTAGAATCTGCTGTAAAATTTTTACAAGAGTCAGAAGAACAAACAGTAGATTCTCCTTTACAATTTTCTCCAAAAATGGTAGAAAATGTTGTTAATGATATATCAAAACAAACAAACTCAAATATTTTTGTACAGGATGAAGACATGTGTAATGATACTTCTGAATTGGTAGTTGAATTACAAGAAATTACTTCTGATTCTATTTCTATATCCGAAGCTGAGATTATATCAGAAGCCGCAAAATTAGAAAATGAACGGAAACTTGCTGAACAAATTAAAGTAAATACTTGTATATCTAATATTGAAGAAAATGAATTGAAAGAAGATGATTTGAAAGAAAATGAATTGAAGGAAGATGATTTGAAAAAAAATGAATTGAAAGAAAATCAAGAAAAAATAGAGAATGTTCCTTCAACAATTGGTACTTATTTTAACACAACTACAGATAAAGTATCTAATAGACAAATATTGTCTAGTGTAACTGCACCCAGTACAAGCTCTGCAAATTCAAAAATAACAGATAGAATGGCTATAGTAGCAGAGTCTATTCCTAAAATTTCAATTTTAGAAGAACGTTTGAGAGAACCACCAAAAATAGAAATTCCTACAACAGACATAACAAAGATGTGTGAAACATTAACAGGTACAAAAGACAGTCTTCTAATACCAAAAGATGCAAAATTGTCGGCCTATCAAAAAATGTTAGAATCACCAAAATCAGTTGATAACAGAGAATCAAAAATTGTAGAAACACCTAAAAAAGAAGTGGAAAGACATGATTTTGAAAATGTTGGATCTCCAAGAATAATACTAAAGATTGCTAAATCTGCAATTGCAGAATGTGCTGAACCGAGATCACCCAAAAGTCCAAAAATTCGATCGGCAACTAATTCACCAAATCCGGAAGATAGTCCAGGTCAAAAATTAGGGAAAATTAAATTAAAGCTTTCAAAAGGTGGACATCCTTCTATAATATCAAATGAGAATGTTGAAGATGTCAGTCAATGGCATACTGAGAGTGCATCATCATTATCTCCTATTGGTATGAAAATTAAATTATCAAAGACAGGAGATGCTTCAATTTTACCAACTGAAAAATACGAATCTATGGATGATATAAAAGAAATAAAGCATAAATTTGAAGAAATTAAAAGAACAGAATCTCCGTTAGGAATGAAAATCAAATTATCCAAAACTGGTGATGCTTCCATTGTGCAACAAGATTCAAAAGATATTACAACAAAATATAAAGAAAAATTAGATGTTATGCAGGGAAGCCCAAAAAGAACAGATTCACCCATAGGAATGAAAATTAAACTTTTAAAAACTGGAGATGCATCCATTGTACAACCGGAAAAACAAGAAATATTTGAAGATCATAAAGATGGAAAATTAAAAGAAAAAGCAGATATTATTTCTGATCCACCAAAAAGAACTGAATCTCCAATTGGAATGAAATTGAAATTATCAAAGAGTGGAGATGTATCTATTGTATCCCCTGATTTAATAGATGAAGGAAAAGATATAATAGGAAAATCGAAAGACAGACATGAAGCTTCTCCAGAAATTCCTAAACGTACAGATTCTCCAATTGGAATGAAAATTAAATTATCGAAAATAAAAGGTGGGGCATCTATAATTTCCATAGATAATAATCCGGAAGAAATAAAAGAAAAAGTAGATATTTCTGATATACCAAAACGAACAGAATCTCCTTTTGGAATGAAAATAAAATTATCAAAAAGTGGAGATGCATCTATTATACATTCAGAAGTTTCAGATGACATGCAAGAAATTAAACAAAAAGAAAAAGTAGATGTGTCCCAAGATACAACAAAATGTGCAGAAATTCCATGTGGAATGAAGATTAAAATGATGAAATATGTAGAAACATCTGTGGGTATACCAGAATTGATAGATCAACATGAAAGTAGTCATGATGCATCTCAAAAAACAGAATCTATCGGTATGAAAATCAAATTTTCAAAATCTGGAGATGCATCAATAGTTCCTCCTGATAAGCAAGAACAAGTAGATGATCATAAGAGCAAAGAAACATTACAAGACTTACCTAAGCAAACAGAATCTCCAATTGGAATGAAGATTAAACTTTCAAAAACAGGAGATGCTTCTATAATACAAAAAGAAGTAATAGATAATAATACCAACAAAATTATCAACAAATCTGATATAGAATATCAAAAAAATTGTGATATTTCTGCATGTGGGAAAACGAAAACATCAAAAACTATTGATGCTTCTTTATTAACAGATTCTGAGAAAAGAGAGAAACAGCCAAAACGGAAAGAAATTGAATCTCCGTTAGAAATGAAAATAAAATTATCGAAAACTGGACATCCAACAATTGTATCTTGTGAAACTCATGCTGATTCTGCTCTTAAATCTAAAGATACTTTAGAAACTACGCATAGTTGTGCTCATAGATATAAAGAGTCTGTGTTACACAAAGACTCACCACTGAAAATCCTTAAAACTGGACATTCAACAATTATGCAAAGTACTCGTTCTGAATTAACTATTGAACCGGTACAAATACAAGGAATAAAAATGGAAAATTCTATTGAATTGTCTTCTAAGCGAAAAGATATAACAATATCACCAATTGAGGTAAAAAAATCAAAATTAGAAACGCAGTTGTCACAAATTCTACCAGAAGTTACTATTCAACCGGTTATATCTAGAGATCAAAAGCAATTATTATTTGATCCAAAAACAAGTTTAATTAGTCGTCAACAAATGAATGTCATAAGCCAAGAAATCAGTATTACACAAGTAAGACCATCTAAACAAGTAGATGTTTCTATGAGCGACAAGCTAAAGGATATGTTAAGTAAAAATGTTGCTAGTTCTCCAATTGGTTCAGATTGTGAAATAATTGAACACAGGCCTGAATTAATAATTGTTAATGAAAATTCCAACTCTAGTCAAGATGTTATGATAATAGAAGAAGTTCCAGCAATTCGAATGCCTGAAGTTAAAATGCCCAAAAAACGAGGTAGACCACGTAGAAATCCACTACCACCACTCATACATACTCCAACGCAGATATTAATACCTCGAGATCCATTAGCTTTGGATGATGTACCACAAGTTGTTCAATTGGAACACAGAGAAAATGAAAGACCTAGGAGAACATGTAGAAATCAAAAAAGTTATGCGCCACCTAAAAGAGGACGTGGTAGAGGTAAGTATTTGTGCATCATTATTATTAATTAGCCTTATGCATTTCTTTAGAAATATGATAATATATTATGTAAATAACTTTATCTAGGTCGTGGAAAGAGAAAGTTAGACAATCCAGATCTTCCACTTAGTAAGAAATCCAGAGTGGAACAAGATTTGAGTGCAATAGAAGCTTCTACAATGGCTATAATCACTTTAGATGAATCTTCAAAACAAGAACAGGCTTTAAGAAAATCATCTGAATTATATAAAGCTCTTAAACAACCCCCTATAGATATTAAAAGTATAAACCCTATGTGTAAAATTGAAAAACAATCTTTGTTAACAGTTCGAAAAGATGGTGTAAAACAAATGGATATTCCCAAAATTACGATTTTAGATTCCAATGTTAATACTCAATTAGAATCTGTTATGGGATCAAGTATGGAAGAAGAAAAAATATTAGTAAAATCCACAATGGGATCAACATTATTAGATTGCAAAGGTAATAAAAAAGAATTGGCAAATATAATGCCTAAAAAAGAACAGAAAACTACAGAAAAGACTCTTACTGATAAAATTATTGAAAAAGCAGTGGAAAATGCAAGATCTACTGGACATGAAAGTAAGGAAATGCTTATACCTCCTGGACATCCTAATTGGCTAACACCAACATCAAAAAGACAAACAGAAGCTACATCCAAAAATGAACCAGTGCCTTCTTTACAAGTTATCGATGAAGAAACAAGAATGAGTGCAGAGTCTAATTCAAGATCTCAAACACCGGCAAGAAATATATCAACACAAGGTATCAATACATTTTACTTTTATTATTGAATAATGCATGAAGAATAATTATGATTGACATATATATATACATATATGAAAAAATAATAAATTAATTACACAAAAATGTTAGAATTTCTAATACATTAAATTTAAAATCATTGATGTTACTTTTATTTAACTTTATAAAATAATTACTATTTCATTTTAATCAAATACGCGTATTGTAAAAGTATTAGATAAAATCATTAAACTGTCATGCTAAATCATAGCATAAATGTATTGGTAAACCTCCAACCAAGGTATCTAAAAATAGGTCTTTTCTTGTGTCCTAAGATCTCTGAAGTATCTGAATGTAAAATAGTGACAACAGTGAATTTACAATGAATATATATTATATAAATATTCATGTCATTATTACTAACGTATTATAATAGTAAGCTCATATATAAAATAGTTTATTACTTGTCAGACTAAATATAGTTGTATTGAGTGATAATATTAGAAATATCTAGCCTTTATTAAAATATCATTATAATTTTTTTTGATTTTTTGATAATGTGTATGTAGAACAATTTTTTAAATATTAATTAAAGTATTTTAATTATTCGTAACTATATAAAATTTTATGCGAAAAGTGATATAAATTCATAATAAATTTAATAATATTTATATAATATAGTTTACATATTTAACAAGAAATAATATTTTAGCATCTGAAACAATAATTAATGAAGAGTCTCAGGGAAGCGTACTTAGTACAGCAACTACTGAATCTGAGAAAGTCAAAGTAAAGAATCGAAGAATGGAAATTAATTTTGATCCTGATGAAGGTCCCTTTACTGTTGATAAAATAGCAGAATATGAATGGCCTCTAGATCGTAAAGGAGAAACATTTATGATACAAGAACAAATATCACAGTATTTAGGCGTGAAGTCATTTAAAAGAAAATATCCAGATTTAAAGCGTAGAATGGTTGATATGGAGGAGAGAAATTATTTAAGAGAAAATGGGTTAGTTAGCGAAGCAATGTGTGATATGGGTGCGTGAATAAATTTATTTTTACTTATTGTTATTCTGAATATCTAGATCTCATTATATAGAGATAGTTATTTCTCTCTCTCTTGTTTATAATATTTTATAATAATTAATATATATACTATATCACTAAAATTTATACATATAAATATGTATGTATATTTTTATATATATGTATATTTTATTTTGTATAGGTTTAACAGCAGTTTGCAGTTCAGAAGTATTAGATGTAATGTGTAGCGATTTTCCTGATCAATATGAGGAGTATCGAAAACATATGCGAGAAAAACAAGTTAAAGAACATTCTAAAAAGCAGAAAGAATTAACAGCAGCAGCAAATGCTGAAAGAAACAGAATAGATTTAGCAGAAATGGCAATACAGTCTGCTTTGTCATGGAATATTAGTTTAAATAAATCTCGTAAAGAAAACAGAAAATGCAGTTTAGATTTGCAGACTTTCACTATTCATGTGCCAAAGAAACACCATAAGCTTGATACAGATCGAAAGATAAGTCATTATCCTGTAGCTTTGATACCAGGTCAATATACTGATTATTACCGAGAATACACACCTGCTGAATTGAGATATTATCCACTTAACACCGTTTTGTATGGTCCTATGCGACCAAACGAACGTAAGTTTGATAGTCAATCAGAAGGATCACAAAGTGATAGTGATAGTGATTCTTCAACTGACGATTCAAGGTATTCATTATAAATAATATATTCTTTTTAAATATTATTAATATCTCTCTTGTGATCTTTTTGATTAATATTAAGATTTAGACTATAATAACTTTGTTCTTGATATTAAGTACTATAATTATTAAATTTTTAGTTCTACCTCCAGTGAAGGAACACAAGATACAGAAGGGTCTCAATCAACAATGGACGATGTAGATATGGAAATAAGTAACCAAAAGGAAGAAACTAAATTGAAATGTAAAATGTGCTTAAAAATGTTAAATAAAAATGGCAAAAATGAAGTATTAATACAATGTGGGACTTGTAATGGAAATGGTAAATTATAATTGTCATCTTGATTATATTATCAGAGAATGATTTGTTTTATAATTAGTTAAATCTTTTTTTAGTTCATCCATCATGTATAGAATTAACATTGGATATGGTTCCGCATATTCAATCTTATGCATGGCAGTGTACCGATTGTAAAACATGCGCTCAATGTCATGATCCAGCAGATGAAGATAAAATGTTATTTTGTGATATGTGTGATCGTGGGTAAGTTTATTATTATTATATATATATATATAATGTGGTAATATGACGATAACGTATATATACTGGTAAAGCATATAACTCAGTTAATTAATGAAATGAATTATTGAATTTCACGAAGTAACGTAACATATATATTTTGTAGTCAAGTAAATAAAATCTAAAAAATGTATTATTATTTTATATAGATATCACATATATTGTGTTGGTCTTCGACGAGTACCGGTTGGAAGATGGCACTGTCAAGAATGTGCTGTATGTGCAAATTGTGGTTCAAAGGAACCTGGAGGTGCTAATTCTGATAGAAACAGTGTAGCACAATGGCAACATGAATATAAGAAGGGTGATAAAAATACTCGTGTTTATGTTTCCACATTGTGTGTTCCATGCTCAAAGTTAGTATAATTATATTAAACATATCATAAATATGACAAGTAAATAGCATAAACTACCTCTTTATGCAAATTAAAAATAACTTATAAATTTTTTCAAGAGTGTGCTTAATTTTTGATGATAACTTTTTCTATACTGAGTAAATTTGTATAAAAATTATTATAATTAATGCTTTATATTCGTGATGTTACGTATTTAAATGAGAATGTTCTATTTATATGCGTTGAAACTATAAGACATATTTGATTATTTAATATTATAATTTATAATGAAATTATAAGAATTTTTGGTTTTCACTTTTTGATATAGTCTTATTTACTGTTGAATTATATGAATGGAATATCAGTGGATAATTACAACTGCTATATTCTTATTATTTTAATTATTTGTTAAATATATGAATATGTTAATATTGATATGTACAAACGCGAGCGCGCTCGTAAGAATCATTATTTACATATTCGCATTTTTATTTTCATCTTTATACACGATATCATCGGATAGTAATATTTTTTAATATTATTTGTTTTACATCACGCATAAATAACTAACTAAAACTGCATGTACATATCAAATACGCATACTCTCATTTAATTATAAATATACAAGAAATATTTCATCGTAGTAATTTTTCATAAATCATTTTTAACTAATTTATCATTGTGTGAAGGTACTTTTATTTTGATATTTTATTTCGCAAAGAGTAATTTGAAATTAAAACATTTAATCGTGTAATTTATCATAATAGACGTTGTAACATAAAAATTTAATCAATTTTACTAACACCATGATCTTTATACATTAACAAGGCTATGGCGAAAGGGTCGCTATTGCCCACACTGCAGTCGCTGTCATACTGCCTCAAGACTCGACCTGGAGGCAAATCTAGTACATTGCAGCGCATGTGATAAATATCTGCATTTAGGTATTGAAACAAATTTTCATACGATTCCATAATGTAATTAATGCATTGCCATATGATGTCATACGTATGTTATTTATGTCTTATTAATATTTGTACAGGGTGATCCGAAATAATTGCCAACAATAATATTATAAGAGTCAAGGCACTTTTGGAAATTCTCGATACTGCTCGTACTTTTTTATTTATTTAACAGCAAACTTTTCCGAAAGCTTTTTTAAGTTATTCTACTCTAACGAACATTAATTCTTATTAATCAATTAAAAAATAATTAAAATTCATTGATAATTAATGATATTACAAGCTCTACAATTATTTCTAGTTATTTTGACCACCCTATTTATGTATATATTAATCATCACATGTAAACTATACATATGTTTTGTACTATATTCAAAAACTTGCAATATTTTTATCAAATTTTTAAGTTGTATTATGCATGAGGAAAATCTATTTCACAATACTAATATATTTCAAACTCTACTCATTAATTATTATATCTAATCTATTTTACAAACATTGGAAAAGGGTAGTATAAATTATTAAATAAAGCTAATTAATAATGTTATCCATATAATGTTCTAGAAAAATTTCGTAATATGAAAACTTACAGTATACAATTAAATACTTTAAGTAATTTATATTGTTGTATACTAAAGTGTTAAATTATTTGTTTAAATATTAATTTACTAACTAATTACATTTATGTTTGTAGGTTGCGTGGAGACCAAAGGACTGGGATTTGATAAAAAGAATTATTTATGCGATTTCTGTGCTCCAAATCGACAACCATTAATAAAGCCTTTAGTATCAAAAGTATTCAAGACATGAAAATATCATTTCTTTATGTAAGTTATCTTTTTTTTTCATATATGAAGAATAAACCTTGCATTTCAAGCATCAAACTATATTTGTTGGCAATATGTAATAATGAAAAGTTCTCATTTTTATTCTCTATTCAATTTCTTATATTTGATGAAAAAGCTAAATGTATATATTTATGCGTTTGTAAGTTATATACTCTATTTGTAAAAATTTTTTATTTTATTGTAGAATAACATGTACTTTTACTTATCAAACTTGTATATTCATTAAAATTGATCCATGATAATATCAAATAACGAACTATGTTCTCTATAAAATGATTAAGGAGCACCACTAGTGTGACCGCCTGAAAAAAAGGTGATGTTTGGGAATTCTTTTAAAACATTTTGTTGATATATAATTAACAAATCAACACATTATAAAATAATATAATTTTCTGTGCAAAATAGCTATTAAATTGAAAGAATTACTCTCATTTAGTTAAGAATGTTAGATTTTATAAATAAGTGATATGTAGTTTGAAAATATTCTTTATGGTTAATAGAATTATAAATTATATTATTAAAACATTTTCATAGACTGCATGTAGTCATTAAACCTAGTTTTACAATAATGCAATATTAGCATTTTTATTCTGAAATTATAAGGTGCTATTGTGAGATATATCATTATTATAATTTTGTTATTTTATGTTAATAATTAATAAGTACATATTTTTATTAAAAAGAATCAAATTAATATAATCATTAATACCAACCCGCAGTACTACCCAACATCCCACCTTTATATTATATTTTATACTATAAACTCACTGGAAGTAGATTGATCTGCTAAATATCTATAGATAGAAAAATAAAAGAATATATAATAGTAGAAAAAGACCACATTTCTTTAAAAATATATATCACTTTCTTTATTTTCCTTTTGCAGTAACCTTGAGTCAGTATTCTGTTGCAGGTATTGAATGCATGTAAACATTCTTTTTACATATTTATAATATAGTATCCATGCCGTAAATAATTTGCCAAGTTCTTTTTTCTATGAAAAAATTTATATGCTTTATATTCACGCATAATCAATAACTGTTTTCAATTGAAACTAATTGTATATTACAATAGATTACAAGGATATCTTATACTATTTTGCAATATGTACAAACCAAAGATGATGGTAAAAACCGTTCGAGGAGTGTTAGAGTCATAAAATATACATTTTGATATATCGTTGCATTAACAATACATACAATTGTAAGTGATTTTTACTTCAATGTTTTGTATCTCTGTACAATATTATGCCTTTGAAACACAATAATTATTTAATCATACATTGCAAATCTTTCTCTGTTCAATACTTTTCATGAGTAATATATTTTACATAATATTTATAAGATAAAAGTTCCATCTTTATAGTATAAACACTTGTTGATAATATGCTGGAAGCAGTTCAGGCAGCATATTCAGAATAAGAGTACATTTCTGACATGATATTTGTAATTACATGCTGCTTCGTGCATTTCTATTTCAATTAGAAACATAACTAGATATTTACTTAAATTAATAAGATAAGCGAAATAGCTTTCTTAAATATTTCTAATATATATTGTTCTTTTAATTGTTTAATTTCGAGTTTACTGCAAAATGAATATGCGCATTTCAATAATTTTTGTTTGCAAAATTCACACATGTAACACTCCGCATATAGCGAAAATAAAAAAATACCTTCAACAAAAATCGAGACATGGCACATGAACAAACTTACGAATTTACGTAATATGCATTGCATTATATAGAACACTTATACTAACGGGACATATTCAGTTTAAAATTGCACTTTATCCCGTTGACTAGCCAAAATATGAGATAATATTAATTGTCGCGAAATATTAATTGATAAAACGATTGAGGTAAAGAAATTTTTTATAAAACGAACATATTTTTTTCCCCGGTAAAGAATCAATAATATATGTATAAGATATTAGCGAAAACCTATACAATTGCCAATGACCCCATTTATTTTTGTTTCAGTTTGATTCAATAAATTTATTTTCTTGATAAATGAAAACTTAAATGATTTAAAGAAATTCCTGTAAAAATTCCAGATTCAGGTCTTTGGTAGCATTTATTCTAAACATGTATCTTAATTTTCACGAATAATTGACAATATAGAGTGACGAGAAGATTTACTCATGCCTAATACCACATATAGATAAGAAAGTGCTAAAGTTATGAAGATGAGTTGCTGGTATAATAGTGGTTACCAAATTTCGCGTTGAAAATTGTGACAAAACATTATGAACAAAATTTGGACCGGGTGAGGAGCCAACTTTGTAGAAAATCCGCAAGTTACACGTGGGATTAATAGTTTGAGTCCCTTTTGTTAATTTACATAAAAGATATTCGAATGCTTCTGTTAATTCAGCTGCAGTCAATTCCGGAGAAGGCAAATTTGTCTCTGCTGCTAAATTGCCTATAGAATTGGATGAACCTTTCCAAAAATTAAAATTTTGTTATTTAATTGTTTTTAAATTCTAAAAGTGGAGTTAATCACTTTGGTCTGTAAATAGCTCTTAGATGATTATAATTTTACACAGTACCTGTTGATAAGTAGCACACAATTGCAGAAACATTATTTTCATAATTCCATCTTCGCCTTATTGCAACTTTAAAATTGCCGACACATTTTCCTGTCTCTTCATCTGTAATTTAAATAAAAATATAATCGAAATATTTATTTTCTCGTTACAAATATTTTTCTTACTTACACTCAAATCTATTATTATCTCTATGTGCCCACACACACCATTCAACTTGAGCATCTCGTGGAAGATGTGGAACAACAATATAATCTACAATTGCATTATTAGTTCGTTTTTCCCATTCTTTACGTGCATCTGGTATATAACTTGGATGAGTTAAAAAACAAATTCCCTGTACAATATCTCTAAGCTGTGTATTTGTATCCATAGCTTTAACAATGCGATCTATGTGCCTTAATGTCAAGCGACATTGACGTTTTATGTTCAAATCGAGAAGAGTCATATTACCAGGTACCAAAGGTATTTGTCCAGCAACGGATATGATATCACCCACCTGATGGCCATTATTTTTGTGAAAAATTATTATTTTAATTTAATAGACAAATTTATATTTTTATTAAAAGATTTACTTACGCGAACAGCTTGAGAATAAGGGCCGATATTGGCAGGAGCCCAATGACTAATACTTTGAACATGCATCGTGTGTCGCTTATGAACCTTCTTATCACCACAGTCTTGTATCTCTTTATAAGCTATAGCATCAAGTACAACGTGTATATTTAATGGACATTCTACGCATATACGAACTGGTGGATTTGTTTTGTTCAACCATGATGTATATACTTCATTTATAGAAGCATAATTTGACATATCCTTTATATATAATGTTACAGCAACAATATCAGATATTTGAAGATTTTCTTTTTTGACTAAACCTAAATACATTTAGCATATTTAATATATTAGAAATTATAAAAATATTATTTAAGACTAAACATATATAGCAAAAGAAAATATTCAAAAAATCGTAAATTTTACCTACTGCTTAATTTTTCCAGTGCTTCTTTCGTTGCAGATTTTACATCTGAGTGTTTTCCTGCTATACCACCAAACCAAAACCAACCTGTTTGATTTTTGTTAATAACTGGTACATCTGGATAATCCTCTTCTTCATATAAAACTTGTACTGGACTTGGGGGATTAAAATGACCTACAATGTGTGTATATATATACATATTCTTATCATATTAAATATAATACTTAAATTATGGAATCAGTTATCCATCGTGAATATATTACCAGAATTAGAAGCCTTCATATTACGATCGTCACATGCTTGTTCGTCAGTTTCGTCTTCAGATAAATTACATCCATCTTGTAATTCTGGTCCAACAACTTCAGAAATATAATCATATGGAGTTTTAACCGATACAGTTTTAAGCCGCTCTCTTAGTGATAATGTTTCTAAACCATTCTACAAATTTTCTTGTTTGTTAAAATCACCAAATCATTACAATCCTAATATACAAATATTGACAAAATTCTACTTACATTCTTATCTCGTAGATGTATTTTTTTAAAATTAATGTATCCGACAGGTGCTATATCATCATTTGAATGTACTACACTTTCATATTTATCTCTACCACGAAGAAATTTTAATTTATATAGTAGATTGTTAAAATCTATATATGATTAGAAACTATGTACATAAAAATATATCTAATTTTATGATCTCCATTACCTTTGTTTTTTTTTTTAATGCAATTATTGGAAGATATTTTGTCTTACAATTATAATTACTACAGATTAAAAGTATTTAAAATACTTTACGTTTGTATACAATATTGAAGATTATTAATTTTTTGTACCAATAATTTGTACCATTAAAAAGAATATATGCTAATTTTTATATCTTTGAAATAAGTATAATAAAGATAATTGAGATTATAATATTACGGCATAGAGATATGTATGTATTTATATAATACTTACATTATGATACTTTTACTAAATAATGGACAGTCTAAAGTAAAAGTTTCGTATTCTCCACCTTCCCCACATACATTGACACCGTACTTTTCTTTCTGCAATTAAAAATATAAATTAATTTTTAATTTATATATATTTAAAGATTACCTACTTTATATTACATATATACAATATTATATAATAAATAGTATATGTCAGATGTTGGACACAATCCAGCATTCATTCAATTCATTTAAAATTAATGAATAAATTAATTACAAATTGTTAGCATTAATTAATTACTTGATTACTATACTCACTATTTTGGCAAAGTGAGATTGCAATTCCAATATAGATTTACCCAAATGTCTTGGCTCTAGACCTAAAGCTGCCACTTTTATTATAACGGCATTTATTGAATTTTCTATCATCTCTTTTAACAAATCCTCTTGATCTCTTCGCCATAAATATGATAAAGAAACAAGTCCTAGACGGCTACACCTAATTATTTATTTTATATTATTATTATCATTTTTTTTTATATGACGATATATTATTTATAAACTATAATTAAAGTTATTAAAAACTTAATCAAATTGATCTTCAATAATTACACATTTTCCACGCGGAGACGCTGATAATCACTAAGAACAGCTCCACTAGACACTCCTTCTATATTTTCTTGTTTCTGCAAGAACAATATATATACATACAGAGATATAATTAATATACTTGCGAATAAACATATTGTGAAAGACCTACTAACTTTTACTTTACTCAAAAGTCGAAAGAGATCTTCGACTTCATCATCTTCAGTAGGATAATAAAGTTTTTCTTGCATTTTTGATCTACCAAATGTTGGTTCACGATATATTGGTAAACCCATAGCTTTAGCAATATAATCAACACCTTGATGTCCAACTGTTTGAAACATAAAAGAATCTAATTCATCTGAAAATAAAATTGCATATTTTTATTAATAAAATGAAACATATTAATTAGAATTTTAAAAATAATTATCATAGACATAATAATACTTTATGTTACTTTAGGTTTCCATCTTCATTGATATCTTTTATTTTTTATATTTTTTATAATTACCTTTTCCAACAGGATATAAATTTGCTATAGCTACGACATCATGACCAGCAGCAATACATTGCATCATATTAAAACAAGAGTCTTTACCGCCACTTAATAATGCTACTACCTTCATATTTTATATATAGGATATATATAAGTCTTTGAAAGATTATTAAAATTGTTTATCAAATTAAATATCAATGTATTTTACTCGATCATCTGTAATAAAAAAATTGGATACGTTGATTAAAGAACTGAAAGTTACAAAATTTCATTTACATTTTTTAAACACACAAGTTTGGTATTTTTTATTTATTATAAGTATATTATATTTCTTTACTGTACCAATATTTTTAAGTTACAATAGAATCTGTATTTTTTAATTCTAAATGAAATTATAAGAACATAAGTAGACTAAGATGTACAATTCAAATATATACTTATACTCACATTATTATCAACTTATCAGAACAAATTATAATCCATTAGCAATAAATGAGAAACTAATCCACGTTAATAAAATAATTTTGATAATCCAAATAAAAATGACACAATAACGATAAGAAATATGCAAATAATATTGAATTTAACGTTAATAATATATGCAACAACTGTTACAGAAGAAAATATGTCACTTTCCTTTTTGTTAAAATGGAATATAGAAAAATTCATAAAGTGTTTCGTAATAGGGGATATTATGATGGCACGTGAAAAGCAAATAGCTTATAATTCTGATAACATATCACAGTAAATCTTTGATAAACATTAAAAACAGTATTTTTTGATACATTTTTGGTTAATGCCGATCTCAAGTACGTAATAATTATTATAGAATGTCGTCGTATGATAAACGATCACAAGAGTTAATACATTATTTAGGATTTTATTTACGCTAAAATAAATACATAATACTGAATAAATGTAATATTTACGTTAAAATTGACGACGAAAGACCCTTGCACGGCAAAGTCTATTCGAGACTGCAATGACTGGATAGTGGCGCCACTAAGCGATGGGGCTTAAATAACGATAATTGAGGTTATATGAAATTTTATAATAAAAATGAGTATATATCTTTATTGCGTGTAACATATTAAAATTTAATAACATATAGATTAAATTTAAATATATAATGTACTGTTTTTAATAAAACTTGTATTATTAACTTAATGGAAAATATATCACTGTTGAAAGATTCACAAGTGTACTTCGTGCAACCGTAGCTAGTGACATCACCAATATACTAGATAGATATAAGAATCGAAGTAATACCCCTTTTAGTTTAACTTCTATCTATTTTTATGCGTCCTACCTTTAATTATTTTTATTAAACAAATTTTATTTAGATTGATTAAATATTATTTTCAATATCTATAAATATATATACATATATACATATATATATTTTGAATATTTTGATAATAAATATAGAAAGAATATAACAAGATTTATATTATATTGGAACTATATAAAATAAAATTAAATTACTAAAATCGTATATATATATGAATATCTGTACATATATATTTATACATACATATACATCAGCTTATATATATATGATTAAAATGAAATTGTAAACAAATTATATACAAATGAAAATATATAAAAATATAAACAATATTTTAATAAATGTTAAAATTATTAACATATATAAATTTACAATATATAGAATATATGTGTAATGTTAAAAACATATTTTTAAAAAAATTACTTTTCAATATGTTATATATTTTCACTAAATAAATAAAATAGTTACCAATATTATATGTTTATATGAGTGATATGTTCGGATGTGATACTTTACCAAGATCTCGCATTTATATAAATAAAAAACTTATTTGAATTATATAGTTTTTATAATTGCATTACATCATTTTGAAAAAAAAATACATTAATATGCGTTAAAATTGGAATAATAATATTCTATAAATTTTAAAATTTGTTTATCGAATGATTGTCATCATTATTGGATAAATCGTGAACCAATCAAATCGTTTGATAATAACGGCCATTTTACTTTCGCTACGGTAGCACGGAGCATATAACAAATTTTGGCGAATACCGTGTATCTGCAAGCTGTGATTTGCAGTCCAACTTTAAACGGAATTGAGTTTTAATAGATCAATTATAGTTAAATTATTTGCTATAACGTTGAACATTTTTAAAGTAAAAATGGTTTTAGCTGAACGTAACTCAGAAAATGTTAGAAATGGTCGAAGATCAAGAGGTCCCAGCCCAAATGGACAGACGGAATCTTCAAGTGAAGAAGACGGAGGTATTCATTTTACATATTACAAAGTATACACCGAAATCATTGATTTTAAATGTTTATAAATGTGATATTTTTAAAATATATAATTTTAAAATGCTATATCTATATATATATACAGCGAGAATTATGTCTGCTCATTTATTATAAAATCCGAAAGTCGTACAAGATCTTTAAACAGCGCGCTTTATTTAATTCACTCTAAATAGTTTTGTGTCAAAAGAATAAATAAATAATTCAAACTGAACAAAATTTTTAAAGATATTTTAATATACTTCTGGTACAAGAATTTAAAGTGTAATACATTGTAAATGTGTTGACATTATGACTTACAATTAGTTTAAAATTATATTAGTATTTGTTTGCTTATTCTTATATACATATATCATTAAGCAATTTTTCTTAATACTGTATATAATTTATATTCATATATACTATATATTATCAAAAATTAAGATTGAAAAAATATTTTCAAGTTCCAGCTGAAAAGATACGTGTTGGTCGAGATTTCCAAGTTATAGTACCAGAACTTATTCCACTTAGTGGTAAGTTTTTGATTAAAAAATTGATTATACAATTTAATGACAACATTTAAATGAAATAATAATAATTACAATTAATGATAATTGAATGTTAGGTGCAATATTTCTTGATTAAATAAAAAAGGATTTTATATTAAAAATCTATTTTAGAGCGCAGATTGGATCAATGCCCTGACAGAGCATTGTTAGTTTGGTCTCCTACTACTGATATACCAGACCAAAAATGTAAGTATTATTGTTCGTTTGAAAAAAGTATAATTTTTATTCGATATAAATTTATCTTGTTTTGTTTTAAGTGGATGAATACATAATATTAGCAAAAGAGAAGTATGGATATAACGGCGAGCAGGCTTTAGGAATGTTATTTTGGCATAAACATAATTTGGAACGTGCGGTACTAGATTTGGCAAATTTTACTCCATTTCCTGATGAATGGACGATAGAAGATAAGGTGTTATTTGAACAAGCGTTTCAGTTTCATGGGAAAAGTTTTCATCGTATTCGACAAATGGTAAGTTGTACGATGTAATTTCATAGTTAAATGTTAAAATGATTTGTTTAACATTGAAGAAATACACACACAATTCTCTTACTTGTTTTATATAAAATTAAGATGTATTCAATAATTTTCAGTTACCTGATAAATCAATCGCCAGTCTTGTAAAATATTACTATAGTTGGAAGAAGACAAGAACTAGGACGTCATTGATGGATAGGCAAGCAAGAAAATTGACAAGTGGTGGAAAAGAAGGAGAAAATGGCAGTGAGAATGGAAGTGAGTTAGGCTCAAATACAGACAGCGAATCTGAAGAAAAAGTAAGATATATCTTTTTTCTAATGAATGAATGCATGAATTATACAGAAAAAAATTTAGAGTTTTGTATAATAGATAAACTGTATTAATTTTCAACTGAAAAATAATTGTAATTTTTATGTGACGCAGCAATTGAAATTTTGCTAATTCACATAGACACATAACTGATTTTTTGAATGCGATATATATATATATATATATATATGATTTACACTAATTATATTAATGAGAATATATGAGGCAGAAGATATTTGCTGTTTTAATAAAACAATATATTTAATGGTAACATTAATTGTTGATTATATTTTCTTTAGAAATTGTTAGAAGCTTATACTACATATTATAAAATGCAAGCTATTATTGCAAGTAAGCTTACGCATTCAAAAATATCAACTTAACACCTTATCAGTAGAATCAAAACATTAGTTTTTTACTGTTAGAAAAAGAAGGGAAAAACATTCACCTATAACAAAAAAAATAATGATCAATCTGATGCCAAATGTAGTCATCTGTGATAAAAAAAACAATATTCAATTTAATGTTCTCTGTAGATAAGGTGTTAATAATTAGTGATATATTTGCACTATTATGCATGCAGCACACTTCTATAGAGATGCAATTTAAAGAATTTTTAGTTCTTGTAGTTTTTAATATATTACGTGATGCAGGTAATTCAAGTAGCACACTTTCTGTTTGTTGTTAGCTGAAATGTGCAATGCTAAAAATAGATACTCTAAAAATGTATCCACACGTTACTTGGTCCATATGGACAAAACAAAAAAAAAGAAGAATAATTAATTTGTGTCCTGGAAGGATCATAAAAATAAATATTTTAATATGTTATTGAGGTGAATTAGATATGATCATATAGGACAATTATAACTAAAGAGAATATAAATATTTAAGAAATTTAACTATATATTTATTTTCAATAAAGTGTCACACATTATACAATAGTATAACTACACTTATATGTATTAAAGAAAAGCTTATCCATTATTTGACGTGTAAACGTTAAGTTATGGTTTAAAATAACGTTCAGTCGTTTATGAACGTAAATGTGGAACGTTCCAGAAATGGACGATCCACCGCGGAATACGTCGTGGAAAGAACCAAGCTGTGCCAGGAAGCCAAAGCACTGACGCTAAGGCCCCATCCGACTCGGAAAACGCCCCTCAGGTTCAGGTACTCAGCCTAAACCTTACCCTGCTTTCATAGCATAAGCAGCTTATTATCTTTGCTATGTTATGTCTCATATTGTAGTATATATTATATCGTATTGCACACAAAGAATTTATTGAGACATGATCAAAATTAAATATCAGAATGTTGTATACAATGCATCTATCCCTTTAGAATCGATAGGCTGAAACCTTACTGAGGATGTAAATATAGAAATTTCAAAAGTTCAGCAATATCTATAGACATGTATTTTGTGCATAAATTATTCATTTGATTAAAATTATCTCAGAAGATATATTTGTCACAGTATTTATGTTTTGTGCCTCCATTCCATGGACACAAAAAATATAAATTATGAATTATGAGTGTACCATTACACACAATGATTTGTGACTGTTAACAACAAAATTTAGCTTATTAAAGTTTAGAAGAATATATTTTTTTAAATATTAGAGAGAAATTGTCCCTAACTAACTGTGTGAAACTATAATAACTTCATTTATATACATTCATTTTTTTATTTAACTCTCACACACACAGTCACAAGCTAATGTATGTACTCAAGAATAGATAGAGGGGAAGGGTTTATAGGAGATTATAAAAATTTGTTTTTTAAAAGGGCATTATATATGTTGTAGGGGTCGTGTAGCAACTGTGGCGTTGCTTGCAATAGCGTACGTGCAACTCCCAAGGGACACGCGTGTCATAGCTGCTATCTGCACTGGAGGTCAGTGAATGCAAGTAAAAATAAATATATCACTGCATAATAGCAAGCAAATCTTCAATATTTGATCCAATCACATATGACACTTTATAATATATATAACTTTTGTATAGAGAAATTTATATACGTACTTATTATAAACATATTTATTTATACTGCGTGCAGATTTAAACGAACCATTACTAGAACAAATTTATCGCAATATAATTATTATATTCTACATATATATATATATATATATATATACAACATTAAAATATATTCTCTTCAATATTATCTTCATGATGTAGGCGTACTGGTGTAGCAAGACCTCTAAGTTCTATGCCAGGTCGTACAAACAAAAGAAAACCACCTCGTGGATTGGTAGTAAATCATGATGACTTGGCAGCATTGGCTGGTCAACCAAATCAAGCTAACAACAGTTTACAAGCTATCGACACAGAGATTGTTAGCTTAAAACGTCAAGTATGTCCCCTTATAGAGATAATGCAATTACAATATATACATATCGTGTGGATACATTTTTTTTCTACATGTATTTTTGTTGTCGACAGATTGCTTAAATTGAATGCTCTAAAATTTGTCTTTCTTTCTTTTTCTTTCTATATATATATATTATAGATACAGTCAAACAAGCAACAAGTAAGTGCTTTAAAACGTAAGACTACTGATGGAGTAGACGACTTAAGACCACCAGAAGTATCCAGTCGTATAAATGCACGATGGACGAATGATGAACTACTGTTAGCTGTTCAAGGAGTTAGAAAATATGGCAAAGATTTTTCTGCAATTGCTGATGTAATTGGTACTAAAACAGAAGCTCATTTGCGATCATTCTTTGTAAATTATCGACGAAGGTACAATTTAGATGCCGTTCTAAAAGAATATGAAGCTGAGAACGGGCCGATATTAATTGATGATGACAAAGAAGAAAAGGTAATATATATTTTTTGTATATTAGTTATTAGCTGATTTATATACGTGATTAATCGATAACTTAAATTTATATATTTGTTGTTTCAGATGGATGTTGACCAACCAAATGAAGTGGCAGAGTCATCACAAAAAGCAAAAGCGTCAAGTGGTTTAGGACAAACTACAAAATAACGAATGATTCTATTAAACACCAAATGTGACAAAGTTAATTTCAGGGTTACTGAAAGTCGACGTTAATACGTAAAAAGGATACTTGTTTGGATTAATTTTTTAATTTTACACGTACTTTTTGTTAATAATTGTAGGTGCGTATAAGAATACAAATATTAGAAATAAATTTGCGGGTCAGTTACTAAATCAAAAGTATTTTAAATATTACGACTTTGCAAACTTAGATGAAATATATACATTTCTTAAATAGAGAGATTCATCATTTCAAATTGTAAACATGTTTATTGGTATAATTATTATAAATTGAATTATGTTTCAAATTAATATGATGAATACAAAAAGTTATGATCTCTGCTGATATAATATGAAAATAATTTTAATAGGTGCACATGTGTCATGCAATAAGAAAAATAATATAAATTATAATTATTATAAAATGTATTTCTGTATGTGTGTTTGATTTTTCTATAGATACGAAAGTTGTCTTATGATGTAACATACAATTTCCTATATTATAAGTAAATTTTTATTATATTGAATAAAACAAAAGAATGATATAAATTATTAATATTTAACAACAAAAATATTAATGACAATATTTCATGTTTTTAAATGTAACGTCATGTAAGTAATAATTTATTGTGAGATGATTATGTTGATGTAATTAGGAAATCATTTCAAAAGACATTGACCTATCATGACATAGTAATAAAAAAATAGAATAGTCGGTTTTTAATTATCTAAAATGATTATAAAAATTCATCTATTATGTACTGTTTATAAGACAATCTAAAAGATCTGGTAAAAAGTATACGCTTTGCGTTATACAATAACAGATTTATTATTAATTTTTTATAATACTGCAATACATTGATTAAATATAATGAAACTTTGAATTTCTCATGATTTATATTTTTCATTTTGTTAACAGAATTAATTGTAGATATAATTTAGTGATAATTTTATGTATTGTAATCATATTTACTTATTTGTAATGATATCTGTAATTATATTATTTAACAACCTATCCAACAAGTATCAATATTTTTAATATTAATACACTTTTTGATGATAATACATAAAGAATATGCATATGTACAAGATACATTTTTGCAAAAAGAATCATTCTTAAATAATTAATTAAATATGCTTCATTAGTGGTATTGAATGTTATTAATTACAAGCCTCATCAAGGAATATAATTGGACATATCAATAAAAGAGGCGTTTCAAGTGTACAGTGAATATATGCTTTTATTTGAATAAAGTATTGAATAATGATTGTAATCTCTAAATGCTATGTATAAAGACTATCATCTTTATCTATTACAGTATATTAGCAATTTGAATATATTTTGACGCTATAATTGTAGACAATTTAATTAATACAAATCTTATTTGTATACACAGCTTTATTACGTGCAAACATATTTTGAAAATAACACTTTGTAATCATGTATAACCTCATATATAAAAAGGATTTATAAGGTATATATTTAAAACAAATTCCATTCATTTATAATTACTTATTTATTATAAGAAATAATTCTGTAACTTAAAAGTGTAATACATTCTAAAAAATAGTAGTATATTTGCATGTACTCTGATTTCTACAATAAGATTTTGTGTTATTAAGTGTATAATAGTTTGCTATGTTTTTGAGTAAGCATCTGTGTGCTATGCATTTCTCCCTTTTTTCTTTTTTTTTTTTATAGTGTGTATCACAGAATTTAACAGCAAAAATATGATATGCCTTGATAAGAATTTGGTAGAAATATTTATGTAGATATATTGTAATAATATAGAAATGTTCTTCATAAGTAAATTTATTAGATTATGCATGAATGTGCAATTCTTTACAATCATGTATACATTATATGTATATTAATATGACAAATTAAATTTAGAAAAAAAAAATAGATGTATTTTATGTATTAACCATTATCAAATATTTTTTAAATAACATCTTATGTGGGTAATGTAGTATATATTGTGTATATACATATAAATTTATGATATTGTAAACTTATAAATGTATACATGTTATATATCTGTAGGTGTGTTGTACAGATATATATTTATTCAACTTATTAAATATGAACTATGTATTTTACTCGACTAAAAAAATTCGCTTTGTATATTAGCTCAAAACAAAAAATACTTTCATTATCCCTATATTAATTACTAGTTTAATTATATTTTATGTTGGTGTATGAATCTATCAATTATTCCAATTCCAATTTGTAATGTCTTTGTTTTTTAATAATTATATTTTTTTTTTTCATCATTTTAAAATTAATTGATGATAAAACTAAATATTTGATTGATTAATTTTTACATTATAATTAATAGTTTAAGTAGTTAATAATAAACAATATACAAATTGGATTGTTTATTGATTTTTTAAATTAACGAAAAAAATCATAAAGCTCCTATGATCAAGATACATATGTGTGCATGTGCATATATTGCATTGTATTACACGTTTTAACTGTGTAAAGTATAGCAGCTAAATATTTGTAAAAAACTATCATTCCTACTAATCAATAAAAATGGCTTTTACTCTGTGGTCACTCTACGAAGCTACCTTATTATGTTTAAATGCTATTTGTGTATTAAACGAAGAAAGATTTCTTGTTAAAAGTGAGTAAACTTTGTCATATTCTATTTTATAGGTTAGATTAGTTTTGCTATGACATTATAATAGCAACATAGCTTAATTTTAAGTGTATATCTTATATAGAGTAAGAATAATAAAATAATAATTATTAATTATGTACAAGTAAATATATAAGATTAATAGATTATATGTATTCTAACCTTTTTCATTATTATACATATGTTATATCGATATTTTTATTATAGTTGGATGGGCTTCATGGCAAAATATACAAGGATTTGGTGAACCACCTACAACTAAATCGCAGATATTAAATCTTATTAAATCTGTAAGAACAGTCGCAAAAGGTACACTTTATTATTTTATACAGAATACTCTTGATAGTTATTTTAATAACTAATAATATATATGTACATTTATTTATTTATTTTTTAGTTCCATTAATAGCTCTAAATATTTTAACAATAATTGTGAAAATGGTTCTGGGTTGAGGAAAGAAATCATATACATATTTACTTCAACGTTATTTTTGTCAAATTAAAAATTAATTAGCATAATTGTCGGTATAATATATTTAAATATATTTTTTTTTACATTAATAGTCAAACAATCATAATGGACAGAAACATTGTAATATATTAAAATAATTTAGAGCTAAGACAAAAAGAAAGTAAATATCTACTATAATGAAAGATCAGATTATATCATGCTATGATTTTGATTTTCAAAATTTTGTCAGTATATTATACTAAATCAAGCTAAATATGTTCCAAGATTTTACAACATATTCTACTTTCAAATAAACAACAAATGTCCATTCACACTTCATATAATTAAATTGTACTTCTGTATTCTCTATAAGAGATATACCTCAATCTACAAGATAAATTAGATCAGTCAGATATTTCTTAGTATACCGTGGGAGAATCTTTGAGACTGGACGATAGCCGGATACGTGAGACCTCCTTTCACTTTTTTAAGTATGTCGATTATTGTATATATGTAAAGTAAAACATATCAATATTTCGTAAATCGCTCACATTTTATCTTTCAAACTATTCCTATAAATGATATTTATTAAATTTTTATAAGATATATCGCTATAGCTATTATATTTAAATCAATAATCACGTTACTTTTGATTAAGTCATATAATATTATTAATATAGTTAGAAAAATGTCATTTTTAAATATCTTTTATATTTTTATAGAATTAAATTAAAATATATATAAAATAAACAAAATATACCGATGAGACTTATAGAAAAATTGTAATTAAGATAATCAATTTGATTGCAACAGTTAAAGAATTCACCGATTCAACTACAAGATTGATTTTTATTATTAGAAATCCCTTAAAAATCGTACACCGTTAGGAAAACTATTGATATGATATATTTAAGACGAAGACAATCTAGAAATAAATACATTATTACATATTTAATGAGTTTAACATACTTAAAAGTATTATTTATAAAAAGTGAATTAAACAAATACTAAAATAATCTATAGAAATAATTTAATTAATTTTCATTAAAGTATATAAGAACAATACAAAGATACATTTGTTTAAATATTACACATTTATTAATATACTTCGAATATTAAACAAATTTTGATCTGATATTTTATTAGATAATTAAATTTTCGATTGAAAATCATCAGAGGGTAGAAATGTTAAAACAAATGTATTTTAGTTTTAAACAATCCTAAATATTAGTAGAGTATACGAGAGTATTCGGTTTACCTTAATTAATTGTTAATTAATCCAAATAAATGTATAATTGCAATGGAGAAGCACGGATTATAAGTTCTAAGCACCATTCTCTTCGGAATCAAACAATAAACTGACTGGTTTGTCTTCTATGAAAGTACTTTTATTAAATGTTGTTTATATGACATTACGAATATTATTATTTTTATACATACACGTGTAGTCATAAAGCTCATAAAAGACAACGTGTCAGTCTAATGGGAAATTTCAAGGAGGACGATACGCAGATCTTATATTCAGTGCTTTTAAACAACAATATACACATTACCTTTAATTAATTACTAATTATTTTAATACTTTAATGAACTCACAACGTATATATATATATATATATATATATATAGGATTGTTTAAACACATATACATTGGATTAAATATTACATTCCTATTAATGTACTTTGAATAAAAAATAATTTCGAACTCGAAATATAATAACTCTTAGTTAGAATGTTTAAATAATTAAAAATATTATTAAAGAACAATACTGTGTTCGATATACCTTAAATAATTGTTAATTAATCGAAGGAAATGTATGTGTATGTATTCGGTGTACTGTCCTCCTCGAAATCTCTCGTTAGACTGGCACGTTGTCTTCTATGAAAGTTTATTTCTTCGAAATTGTTTATATGACTCTTTCCATATAAGGAAAATCTATTTATTACGAATATTATATTCCCGTTATGCACGTGCGCAATTTTCGGAAAGTAATATAAACAACATTTAACGAAAGAAATTTTACAGAGGAGAATGACCCAGTTTAACAATGGATTTCGAAGAGGATGGTACATAGATAATATACTCCGAGCTTTTAGACAACACAATAGACATTTATATTTCGATTAATTAATAATTATTTTAATGCACTAATGCACTCTACTTATATTACAGGAAAATTTTACCCTCGAAGTTATCACTGCGCAGGAACGTTAAAATAATTACATAGAAATGAAATAAATGCTAAAATCTGCTCGTTATAATCTTATTTTTATTAATATTTTCGATAGTTTAAACAAAAATACATTTATTTTAATGTTCCTACCCTAATGATGAATAATTTATATAATTTTTAAACAAATATAATTTATATTATTATTATTTCAATGGTATATTGAATTGATTCTAACATTAAAAAATATTAAAATAACAGTAAAAACAAAGGATGATCAATTGTTATCAAGACTTACGATTTTTAGCACATTTCAACACTTTATTTTCTCTTATTCGTTTAATTAACTTGTTATAACTAATACTTTCTATATTAAAATTCATTAAATATATGTAATAATGTATTTATTTCAATATGATTTATCTTGATTTCTCAAACACATAATATTAATATAGTTTCCAAGTAAAAATTTAATAACCGTAATGGATGTAGGATTTTTAAGAGACACTCTCACTATATGTACGTAACAGATAAATATATACGTGTATTTCTTGTTTAGTGCAGATATTTAAAAAAGATTTCCTAGCCAGCTAGAGTTGGCTTGTGAAAAGGCAGGAAGAGCTTTCACTCTTTAGTAAGAATGTTAAAAATAGAGATAGAGAGAGATAGATAGAGATAGAAAGAGAGGGGAGAGAAAGATGCGCATTAGAAATAGGGGAAATACACAGAAGATATCGTTTTCTCTTGATCGTTGTCCTTTCAATAAGCATTTAATTGACCTACAATAAATTTCCAATTAAAGGAACGTCGTCTTACCGTTAACTACGCTTAGTTTTAATTGTAACCGTTGTATCCTGTGTGTCTGGAGAGTGCAACGAGAAAAAAAAAAGGAAAAAAGAAGATGAAAAAAAAAGAAAAGAGAAGAAACCTATGACGTAATTTGGATCTAAGGAGTGATGAAATGACTATGGTCATTACGTTAGATAGCATCGTCGTCGAGCTGGTTCTACCTGGTTCTACCTGGTGGACTACCTCATCAAAAAGTGCTTGCTAATTCGATGGGATATTTTTTGCTCGTGGCAAAAGTTGTCGGCAAAGTAGCACATTACAAATAAGGAAGAAAGCGAATATAACACGGACGTCCTTCTTCCCAGTACGTTTTCTACCCCTCCCCCTCGTCCTCCTCCTCCTCCTCCTCCTCCTCCTCCTGTTTCACCTTCCCTTGGTTCTTTATAATTCTGCATTATTAGCCGCAGGATGTATTCGTTCGAGAACTCATCCACTTTCGAATCCCAACGAGCTTCATCGCGCAAGAATTTACGTCATAAAGTGAGAGAAAGAGATAAAAAGAGAAAAAGGAAAAAGGAAAAAAAAAGAGAGAGAGAGATGAGACTCTTATACATACTCGTATACGAACATTTCTAAAGTGAAAGGAGAAAGGCCGGGTTATATCGTGTAAAAAAAAGAAAAAAAAGAAGAAAAAGAAGCCAACGAGAGGAGGCTTCTTAAATCGAAGAGAGAATACATGCGTAAAAACGCATCAGACGCGATCGAAGATTGCGAATTAGGAATAAAACGTTCCCGCGATGTTGTCGATTAAAAATAACGGGGAGAGAAGAAACCTGTCTCTTGAATTTTCGGATGAGAATACGGTGAACGGATGATAGGGGGTTTTTGTTCGTTAGTTTTACGTAATACAACATAAAGAGAAAGATTAAGAGAGAGAGAGAGAGAGAGAGAGAGAGAGAAAAAAATAATTCTTCTTTTAACGGTGGCGACGTTTTTTTATTTTTTTCTATAAAAAAGCCTTTATACAAGTACAAAAATGCGTGGTTAAAGAATAGCATTTAAAAACGTAGAAAAATAGTGTGTATTCGTGGCTTCGTGTGATACGAGTTGCTCGATAAAAGGACCGTGGCGCATGTCAAATGATTTTTTATACATTTCGGTATTTCGTTCCTATTACTTTTTCTTATTTTTTTGTTTTTTTCTTTAATCCGATCAGCGAGATATTTTTTTTTTCTATTAAGATAATACAAATAATGATCAGGGAGATCCTATTCGAGATCTCATAACCTCGATCCCTTTCATTTTGTTTTTATCTTATTATTATTATTATTATGATGATTTTTTAATTATTATTATTGTTGTTGTTGTTGTTGTTGAGTAACGAAATATCCGAAAGAGGATCATTGAGTTGCGTCACGGACACTACGACTTTTTAAGGAGTAAATATAAAAATTGTATTTACAGGGCGCAATTTGTGCGCCAATCACGTCTTCGGTTTCGGCTAATTTCTGGCCCTTTCCTCTTACTTCTCCCATTCACATATATGATTATGCCAAGGACTAATATTTTTTTATGTCCTTTCTTTTTATATCCATGCACACACGACGATGATGTGCGTTTATAATTGATTTTCCTTTTTATTTTCTTACTCGTTTCCCTTCAAAAATCCTTCTTGGATTTTCTTTTTCGTTTGATACGACAAAAAAAAAAAAGAAAAAAAGGTATATTTATTTCGGTGTAGCGAATCGCGTAACACCTCCTCGTCTCTTGCGTTGAGTCTCGTTAATTGGTATTCTTTTTTTTTTCCTCGGTTAAAAAATTCTTCTTCTTGGTGACTCCATTTTTAAAGCTGCGACTATCCTACGATCTTCGACGAGGTAAAATCGTAGACGATCTTTTGATTTTTATCGATTTGCTGCTTCTATAATAACTCTGCTAACTATTATCTATCGTATTCTTGTAATTCTATTTCGTATACATATACATATGTACGATTTTCATTTGATTTTTACTTAAAATCAAAAATAATGCGCGCGCGTGTTATTTAACGTAAATATTCGCGTATATAGAGTTGTTCGATGATGACGACGACGACGACGACGACGACGATAAGATCCCTGATCTTCTTATGACGATTATTACTTCTTCTATATAATTAATGACGACCGAGTGTGCGTACGACAATCTTCCGAGCGTTTAGGAATGAAGAATCTTCCCCCAATAGAAAGAAATCTTCCTTCCCGTTATTATATCGTTCATTCCTTGACTTCCGTTTCTACCATTCTAGAATTTGTCTTGAACTTCTCGAATGTCATTATCATTGATTGGTGATTGATATTAAAGATGTTGATGGACGACGTTACGTTGGTTCTTAAATTGTTGGGGCTCGAAAGATAGTCGCCTTTGTTATCCAGCTCTTTCTCTCTTTCTCTCCCTTTCTCTCTCTCTCTCTCTCTCTCTCTCTCTCCCTTCCTTTTATAAATTGGCGACGACCGCTTTAGAAGGGTGCACCATAGCTACCGCTTGGCCTGCTGGGTGCTCCATAACTTACACTAGGACCACTTGGGTATCCACCAACGCCATGGGTAACTTGATTGAATTGAGCTACCTGGATGGCTTGCCTGATACCTTCGAGATCAATGCCTACGACGCGGGTTTGGTAAGTTGGTACACCATAGGTTGGACTGGGTGCTCCATATTGCGGTGATGGTGCACCATAACTCGAGCTAGGTGCGTATCCTCCAATACCGAATCCTCCAGACTGTTGGGCTTGCAATTCCTCCTTCAGAAGAATCTGACGGATTTGTTCTAAAAGGGCTCCGTCAACAGATGCACCCTCGCTTGTTTGATAACCAGTCGACACCTGAGTGTATCCACCTCCTCCACCTATAGAATATCCTCCTCCACCACCACCCCCACCTGGTCTACTGTAACTGTAGCCGGAAGAGACTGGTGGTTCGGCCAGGGCTAACCCTGCCAAACCGATAACCATACACTGAAACAAATGAAAACAATAAAAATAACTAAAGCAAATTTTAGATCTTTAAATTTGTATCAAATTCTATACGAGGATTTCTCGAGAAGATTTCTCGAGAGAGAGAGAGAGAGAATTGACATTCTAATTTATTCCGTGCAACCTAACTATCTGGTCAAGTTTGTTACTGGAGTCACGTAATATTGCAAACGATTGCGTTGAAGTGATCGATAGGCCGATGAAAACGGCCATCTTGTTCGATTCGTGTCGAAACAACGACTTTCAAGAAACGTTGGAATTCTCGATGCAATTCTGCTGAGAATGTAATCTCGTCCCTCCCCCCTAGAACGATCTTTTTCTTTTTTTTTTTGACGGTAAAATCAATTTTACGAAAGACTAATGGGTATCAGAACGTTTTTGACTTGAATAGAAATTCGATCGACGAAGAATTCATTGTATTTATCTTTCAATATATATATATATATATATATAAATATATCACTTTTAAAATCATTTACACAGAATCACGAATATATTTTACTCGTTTTTACTTTTTTGTATCTTAATTTTTGGCACGTTCTCTATCCCATTTTAATTTCAATCACCACCCTACCCCACCCCAAATATTTATTCCTTATGTCAAAAATGAATCTGCTTACCGCGATCAAGGGATTCATGCCGGCTTCTACGATGCCGCTTGGTTCTGTGACTCCGTGGATGGTAGAACAGGGTCCTTTATACTCCCAGGAGAAGCAGGGGGATATGTAAGGCCCCCACGAAGAAGAGACGGGGACTCTCGGGTGAGAGTAATTCAACGGTGAGACGATTCTCTGGTCATCCTCTTTCCCTCCTCCTCATACCGATACTCTGTCTCACTTTTATATATATACACATACACATATATATAGACACAAACACTTAAACATTGTTCGACTACTACTATTCCAGTACTCTGCGAATAGAAGATTGATCCTAGAATCTCCATTTAGAGGTATACTTAAACGAGATTTGGTGGATGGTAGGATTATTGTGAAATTTAGCCTGTCTTCTTCATCGTGTACAGTTAAGTACTAGTTACAAGTTGCGTCCTAGACCTAGACTCCGTAGACCCAATACTATCTATTAGAATATTTGTGAAAACTTACTGTTTAGTATATCGATCATCGTGATCTATCATTTTAATCTATGTGTACAATTTTTATAATGTCAATCGTCTAATTGATACTCAATTGTCTATCGAAAATAAATCATTTTATTAAATAATATGATTGAAATCTCGTTTAGAGAAAATAAAAGTTAAAAAAAAAGGACAATAATTAAAAGAAATTTCTTTTTCGGTAAACTATCATCCATCCAGCTATCCATTTGTCCATCCATCCGATGGTTGTTTACGCAACTAATCTCAACGTTATTTGCCGAGAGTCTTCAATGATTTCGAAAGAATTTGTGATACTGCAATGCCTTATGTAAAAACGTTTTGTGAATACCTATTTACAAGTGGACAAATGGACATGGTAAAACTGATTATTATTCTTTTTTTTTTCCTCTTTTATTTTATATTTTAGAATCCTTGCACATACGACACACGTTTAACATGTCTAGAATTCGATTATGATTTTTGAGATATCGGATAGAATGCAAACAACGTGATTGGGAACAAACAAAAAATATATATCAACGATAATTCGAATCTACAATCGTTGCAATAATATATTACATATAGTTTTATCATTTTTATAACGAAATTATTTTATAACGGGGACCTCGGGGAGGAAGAGGGTGGATAATCGTAACAATTATTATTTGAAAACAAACAAAATTCGTACGAGTACGTGTTTTTCTGGTCTTGGTGTTTTATCATACTTTATATTATTTTCTTCGTATAAATTGGTATAAAAAAAAAACAATTCTCTGTTCGATATCACGTTAAATAAAAAATACGATTAGATCGATCGATGATACAATTATAAACGAAGAATTAAATCGTTGTATCTTAAACGAGAAATCAATTATTTAAGTTACGAACCTTTGACCTAATTCTCGTTACACTTTTGACTTCGCTTTTTTAATTCCTGTGTTGTTTTTCTTTCTTTTTATTTTTAATTTTGTTTGTTTTCTCCCCTCCTTACCTCCCTCCCTCCCTTTGTACCTCATCTCTCTCGCATATTATATTCTTTCCCTCATTTTGATTTTATCCATTTCTTTTTATTCCTCATAATCTACCGTGGCCCAATTTTATACTCAAATCTCACATTTTTATCCTGAGTTCATAAGTATTACATACGTATGTATGTATGTATGTATCCTACGTGGTTAAATGTGTGTGACCTCGAAAGGATTCACGAAATTTTATACGATCGCTTTCACGTGTCGACGACGTCGTATAAAAAAGATAAAAAAAAAAGCAAAAAAAAAAAAAAAGTAGCGGTTGCAAACGAACGTTTAATAATTTTCAATTCTTTCTTTCTTTAATTTTTTTTATTTTTTTGTTTCTTTTTATTTTGATAACTCTTTCTCTTTTCTCGTAGATATCTTTAGGTGTGCTAGTTTTCGTTTTGTTGTTGTTGTTTTTTTTTGTAGTCAATCGTCATCTTTCTTTTTTCAAAATAAAAAGAAAAAAAAACGTTCGTCTATAAGCGCCAGGAAATTTGGATTTCTATCTTAAGCAAATGCCTCGGGAAACTCCGAAACTGCCTTGGAGCTATCCAAGAAGGTGCCATGTGTTGTATCTGAGTTTCTCGAATACTGACGTTATGGGGTTGCGGAAAGAAGGTCGGGGGAAGGAAGGGGATTCATGCGCTCGAGGCTTCACTTTCGCTCGGCCATAAGCTTCTTGCCTCGTATCATCTTCTTCTTCCTCCTCTCTCTCTCTCTCTCTCTCTCTTTCTTTTTCTTTTTATTTTTCTCTCATTCTCTTTGTATCTGTCTATCTTTCTCTCTTGTTTGGTTACTCGTAGGTTTTTCTTTGATCCTGCGAAATCTTTCGTACCGGATGTAGGATGTAATAATGCGTGAGAAGTATCTCGTATGAACCTTCTCCCTTTTTATTTGAAAATAGATACACATACATATTTATATATATTTAATTTTTTTATAATTATATTATTTATATATTATATATAATATAAGTGGTCTAACGTAGCTAGCTTTCATATAAATAATATAAATGTATATTTAATTTTTATATAGGTATATATATATATATTGAATTAATTATCTATATATAGATACGTTTTTCTATTATAATAATATATTTTTGAGATAAAATAAGAATGATGAGAAATATCTAATACGTTAAGACCAAACGTTAAACTCAACAGAGTGAAAGGTGAAAGGGAAGACACAAGATGATGAATCCCAAGATTTCTGTCTCGGAGTATTACTATTTTAATACATTTTTTGTTTTTTCTTTTTTTTAAATAATATTACATATATAGATACATAATTATAGAGATTAGTGAGTAATTAAGGAAAGTATTTTGCATCAATTAAGAACTGTTTAACGTGTGTATCGTAGGTCAATGTTTAAAGAAAACTTTTTCTAGAATTACCAATGACTCCCGTGTTTACGATTTCTAGCAAAAGATCTCAACTGGTGGCATATAACCGACTACGATTTATAAAATTACGTACGGTATATGCCATTCTTAATACAATGTCTCTTCTAACGTATTAACATACTAATGCGAATTTACTCGAAGAAGATAAATATTTGCCGTTAGGTTCCTAGGATTTTTATTTTCATTTAACAGACATATATTTATATATATATTTTTTCTTCTTATAACACATTTCAAGAACAATATATTATCTATTTTTATTTTTTCCTATTCGAGCGCGTATTTCTCGTATACGTAATCATATCTTCTCTACGTTTTATTATTATTATTCTTTTTTTTTTAAATGATATAACTGTACAACAAATAAATCGTAAATCATTTTCACGATCAGGATGTGTAGAATATTATAAATTTCTGAGTATGCGATGAATGCGTGAACAAAAACAAAAAATGGATTATTAAAAGACATTCCTTTTTACGATTAAGCAATCGTTTAACAACCTCTGCATGTCGCAGAAACCCGCATTAGAAACCAGCTATTAAACAGAAGATCGCATGTAGTAGTTTCTCTATCCTTAGTTTCAGATGAGAAATAGAATTATACGAATAAAACTTAAAGTATACACACATATATATATGTAAATTGTGATTTATAATATAATGATCGATTATAATAAACTTTGAAGATTAATAAAGGACGAGATTGTTACGTTAACGTAATGAAAAGTGAAGAAAATGGTAACGTTACGATATTTAAGTTGTATGGGGGGAACAACATTATTCCATACCATTCCATTCCCCCCTCCTCCTAATAATCTCGGCACCGTTTCAAATCTCAGGACTTTCTTTTCCGTTTCAAAACTCATTCGGTGTGCACACGTTGGCTGGCATATCGTATCGATGCGATGCTTCGTACTTCCTTCGTGCGAACGATATTTCATTACATCTTTTATGTATCTGTATAGATATATATATATATGTATATGTATGTATACGAATTAATATAGTGTAGAGAAGAGTGTTTTACTATGTTAAGGAAATTACACAATCATACCAATGATTTGCGTTATATTGTAAAGGCTAGAGAAAATATATTTCAATTGACAATGATTATTTCTTTATTAGTTTTTCTATATTTATCGGTATTGATTTTGCATAAAACGATGTTAGGTTTATAAAAGATGTTTTTGTTATTTGAATTTTTGTTAGTTGAAATATTTATAATATCGAGATTTATCGATTAAATAATTAAAACAATGTTATTACTTTCTTTTTAGTTTCTATATTTATCGTGTATTACTTTGCATAAAACAATGTGTTTGCTTTATCGAAGCTTCTTCTTTATTTCTTTCAATTATAAAAATAAGTGAAATTTATAATATCGAGATTTATCGATTAAATAATTACAACAATGTTATTACTTTCTTCTTCTTAATCTCGATTGTAGATAATCATTTATTTTATTTTTGTTTTAAAGTTAGTTACTTGTTATTCTATATGGTTCGTAGTTTGGTTAAGAAACTTTCGTGAGAATATTCTCTCTTTAACGGAAGGTATCTTCCGTTATGGTAAACGAGCTTTGATCGTCAGAAGAGCAACAGTGACCGAGATCTACCTGTTACCTTCGCGTTTCTCATCATCAGTTCACTTTCTTCAAGAGGATGCGGAGATGCGACCTTTCCTGAGGTCACTGATACTACGTTCGAATTTCACCAACATGATCATCTTCCCGGAATATCAGCTGCCACCATTACTTTTTATTGCTTCCTTCTTCCTCTGACTTGTCGATAAAGACTCGCATGCCAATGTTCTACTAGATTAGGCTAATCGATATATTGCAATAGTGCCAATATATTTATTTATTTAGAAAATATATGAATCATCTAAAAACTAATACGATTAAATCTATTTTTTGTGAATTTTTCTAAATTTAACTAATAATATATTCTATTGTTAAAGTATTTAATCGTTTCTTTTTTTTCAGCTGTCGAAAGGTGAAAGTATTAAAGTTTTTTAAGATACCTATAAATACTTACATTTTTATATTTGCATATCTTGTACATAGCTTGTTTATTACTTTGCACAGCCTATCCATTTTGAAGGTATACTTTGAAATATATTTTTGTAATTAAATTAAAAAGAAAATAAAACAACCCCCCACCAAAATTTACTAAATCAATGTATTACGTTAAACATTCGTTTTCATAATTTTTATTTTCTATACATAACCATATTAGATTTCTGATGGACTCATATAATATCCAAAAAAAAAAGAAATCATTAGAATATTCATTATCATATATTCATATCATCATATAAAATAGTAGCTTGAAACAAACGACGTGTCGTTGATATATTATAATATTCGACACTTTTTTTTTCTTTTTTTTTTTTTTATTATTTTTTGAATAAATGGGTATAATAAAAAAATAAATAACCTCGTAGATCTAATGGTGTTATAATTAATTATACCATTCGTGTTATTTTTATCATGTATATAAATAATTAATCGATTAGGAGGAATGTATAGTAATTTATATGGTATCTTTAAATTAGTGAATGAGAGAATCGTCGATTTTATTTAATGATTCTAGAAAAGGGGGTGATGACCTGGGTCGCTCTCACACGTTTGTCTCTCAACTGTTCACTTCCGGTAGTGAAAGGCGTCTGTGTTTGCAACTGTTGTATATAATATATACCTACCAACTACCAAACATACAACATCTCTTCGCACAACTAACAGAGAATGTTTGTTTCGAAAGATGATAGTCTTTTCTGAGTATTTTTTAACCTAATTATACAGATTTTAATGAGACAATCCTTTTTTTGTTTTTTCTTTTTCTTATTTTATTCAATTATTTGTCTTTTTATTTTATAAATCTATAACACATTGTTTAAATTATCTGTAATATTTATTTCTCTATTTTTATATTTGACCTATATTTAATAAATTTTGTTTAATTAATTGATTTATCTCGGAGAATGAAATAAAATAAAATAATTTATGTCGAACGATTGTGAAAAAACATCGGATTATTAACGTAATTTATGCATTACTAATTTGTTTCTACATTTATTTTGTTTGCAAAAAAAGATAAGATAATAATATGAATATATATATTACTTAGGAGTGTTTGGAGAAAGAAGAAAAGGAAGAAAAAAAAAAAGAAAAAAAAAAAGAAAAAAAAAAGAAAGAACTGACGTAAATGAAATCGGGAAGAAAAAAAAATAGGATCTTAAATTCACGTCACGGTCGAGAGTTTGTAATTCTAATAGATTAGAAATTTCTAAACCATCTTAATTTCTTGCCAACTCGCGTACTCGTGTTTTAAAACGTTGCCACAACTTTACGTTTGCGTAATTATTGTTCCAAATTCAATAGATTTACATTCACAGATTATTTAAGAAAATGATGTACACATATATATACATATATATGTGTGTACGTAGAACGATGAACGATGATAGTAATACGTTTTGTGATTGTTACATAACGTGTTTATAAGCGATATGTAAAGTTTGTTAAATGACGACGCAGAAAAACGGGGAACGTGCCAGAATTTCGATTTAAATAAACTGTTATCCAAATTTTACATTCGTATAGTAGTTTAAAAAGAAGAAGAAGAAGAAGTAGAGGAAGATGAAAAAGATGAAAATATCCATTGAAATTCTCTTATGTTTCCTTCTTCTTTACGAAGAATCCACTTTTTGTTGCGTAATATTTCATTTGAAAATTGTTCTTTTCGAACGATTATAATTCATTAGTTATATCGTATTAACGAGTCTTACGGATAATTGCATGAAATACATGCAAAATATGGATGTATTTACATTTCTTTAAATAATTCTAACTGCAAATCAATCATAATGTATCTGCAGTTTGTATATTTTATTATTTCTTATCACTATAACTATAATATAAGTAGGAAATTGGAAAAATACCAACGAGATATTAAATCGCGTATTAAATAAAAAATATTATATTCTCGATTATTAAATTAATCATTTATAACACACATATATGAATAATTTAAAAATTAAAAAGAAAAATAAAGTATACAAATGTATATTAATATCTTAATCTCACACATAAAATTCTTCGAAATAATTGTTATCTAACGATTAGTTATTAAATATCATTGTATAATAAATCTATCTCTTATTCTTTCAAAAATAGATAAAAATCTTCCAAGAATAATTGCGAAATGTAAAGAGAAGATCGTTATCTTAGTGAAAAAAGATAAGAACATGATTGACACCATTCAATTTGAAAAATTCCATTAAGGAATTCACTTTATATAACGATACACAATTGTTCGATATTATTGCAATATATTATAGAGAAAAAATAATATCATTTATAAATATATTTCTTTTTATAACTATTATTCTTTATCTCTCTCTTTCTCTCTTTCTCTCTCTAATATATAATACATTTACATATATATTATATATGTATAATATATACAATTAATTAACAATAATTTCTTAGTTTATTAATCCAACAATAATTAATGAAATGTTGGAAAAAAAAAACAAAAGATTGTATACTTAAAAATTAATCAAGTAGATAAGTAAAAACAATGATTTGTTCATGGTTTTACGTAATTGATCGTCTCCTAGTACAATGTCTGATATTCGGTAATGGTTTGTTCTTGCATTTTTTGGTCCATTCGTTCCATGCTTTAAATCCATCCATGTTTGAGATTGTTTTAGCGCAAATTATGTCATCTTGTATGTCGTCATTGGCAAAATCCTCGCAACGTTTGTTACAAATACCACCAACGCGACCACGTGTACACCATTTTCCACTGCTTATTTGAAATATACCGTAATAATAGTTGGATGCAGCTTTTGGACCGGTGATAAGTTGAGTGTCCATACCACTTTCGTTCTTCATTAAACAAATCCAGTTGCTTATGAAACTTCTCGAGATGCCACCGCGTTGTAATTCTTTCATGGCTTCGCATTCGCTTAAAATTTTCCCATAGGTTAAAGTTACAAGCGATAATAACAATAGGACGTCGATTATCATAATCTTCGTTATGTTTCTTCGCGATTTGTATATTATCATTTTTCTTTTTCTTTTTTTTTTTGGTTCTTCTTTTTATGTTTGTTACCAAAAAATAAAAAAACGAACTACGTTTGTATTTTCTTTTTTAATTGGAAGACAACTAACACCGACCGGTATTCAGACGTAAATGTTCCCGGTTTGAATGTCACTACGACGTTTTACTAACAACGAACGATAGACTGTGACCTCGAGCTTGAGCGATAAGCTTTTTAATGTAATTACTTGGAACGAATGATGATTGGTTGTTTAGTTTATCTATCTCTTACTTTTTTTTTAATAGTTTCAACTTATTTCCAAGTATTTCATGCACAATGAGGAAAATATATGAATCAATGTATAGAAAACGATTTATGAATAGATGTATATGTATATATATGTAAATATACACATATACATATTAAAGTTCTCGATCAAGGATATACATATGTAATTAAATCGAGCCAACGGTTCATAAATGAATTTTACATTTTTAATCAGGTATTACTGTTATTATAATCATCTAATTTCACAACACATTGTTTTATTATTAATACAACACAGAATATATTATTCATAATTATTGTATTATAATTAAAATATACAATTGTTATCTATATGGTATCATATTCTCACGCGAATAATTAGATAAATTATTATACTGTGTCATATTTTTGTAATTTTTTTTTTTTTTTTTAATAATTGACTCTTTACGTATATATGTATATATATGTCGTCAGATTGCTTGATATAATACTTGTTCAATTTCTTCATGTATTTGTTCTCAAAAGAGACAACTTTCACGATACATTCGGATCGTACTTTTTCAACGATCGGACTATAACAGTGGTCAATGATGATTGCAACATTTTGAAGAGACATCTTGTGAAAGTATTGAATGCAAAAAAAAGAAGGAAAGAAAGAAGGAAAGAAAAAAAAATCCATTACGAATTATAAAAATTGCGTATAAAGTATGACATTTAATAATTGGATATAAAGCTGTTCAATCACGTGCTTCCTCTCTGTCAAGTTTTGAATATAAATTATGAAAGAAAAAAAAGATATGAGACTTGATATAAGAACTATGAGAATTTATTCCTATCCCATAAGAAAAAAATAAATATTCATATTTAATATGAATTGATTTAACACTTTAATTAGTTACACTTCGCGAATATATTTTATGTGAATTTATTCTTTTTCTTTTTTTTTTTTCTTTTTCTTTTTAATACATCAATTTTTGATAATATTTGAATGTATATTAAATATATAGAAAATATATTATAGTAAAACGTAAAATATTTATATATAGTATGACGATGATAATAATAATAATAATAATAATATTAACTTGTAATATGTTATAATTAAATAAAAAGCATGATAAATATCACAATTACTCGTCGAAACAATGAATGCATTCGTATAACTATCGACAGGTGCAATTAGTCACGAGTATTATCGTCATATACACATTGTCTTACATTAGTAATTTTGTAACTCTGTTTTAAGAGTTCATATATACTGTTTCGTATGTGTAAGACTTATCTTCGAGAATCCTATGGATGGAATATCACTATTATATTTATCCTCAAATATTACGATTATATCTTATTCATCTGTGTTTTTTTACCTCTATAACTATAACTTACTTTTTTTAATGAACATAATATTCTTATCTTACAGTAAAATTTTACTGTTCTATTTTTATATATATATATATAGGTATAAAAATAACTTCGAAGATTATATAATATTATATCTACGTTTAATAATGGCATTTAAATGTAAACGTATAGAATAAAAGTTATATTTGGCTTAAATGAAAAATTAAAAGGGAAATAACTAAACAAATGTGTGTGTGTTTGTGTACACTTAAAACAGTGAACAAAATAATTTCTCGAAATAATATAAATAAATGATATTATTTATCTATATTATTATTATTATTATTATACTTTTGGCTTTTATATATTATTATCAAGATCCAGCCTTCGTTAATTTAAATCGTCTTTCCTTGGCAAATTTGAAATATTCGGGATTTTCATAAATAATTTTAGCTAATGTTTCAGGGCCTGCATAAGTGTCAGCCTTGGTACCCATACACATTGACAATTGTGTATCGGAGAGTTCTTTGCCACATTCAACGTCATGGAAAACGTGTATTAAATTTGGATCAGCTGCTCGAAAAATATGTAACTTTGATTTAACAACTTTATCGTAAAATATTACATCCTCTTTACCCCAACCTCGAATAGATAAATCGAAACCACCAATTGTATCGTAATCCTTTTTGTATAAGGATACGATACCAAAACCAAATTGTCTCCAATAACCAGTGATTTCTGTAATAACATATTTGTCATGTATCTTTGAATCACCATAAACGATTTTCGGATCGTATTCGCTAAATACAACAGGAAAATATATTTGTCTATTGATTAATGTATTTAATCGTATACGATATAACGCAGAACTCGTAAAAACAATATCTACGTCTATGAAAAATAATAAATCATCGTCTTTCATACGAATGACACCTTCGTGCAGTGCATTGGCCCTTGCAAATTCACCATTACTTAAAATTACATCGATACTAGCACTCCGATATTTGTACTTCAATTGTTCAATCAAATTCAATGTTTTGTTCAAAGTGTCTTCTGTTTTATGCCGATACAATATTATCAACAATTTTGTTTGTTCCCCAGTCGTTAAACATACTTCTTCGTAATTTTGAATGAATCTTTGAAATACCTCGTATCGTCCTGACAATGGTAATATAAAATGTATAATTTTATCTTCGTTGTTGCGATCCTTACTTTTAATTAATTTCAAATTAAAATCCAAAAATCTCGATGGTATTATATTTCGTAGAAATTTATTTTCACTTTTACGATTATCTTCTTTCAATTCATCGTCGTTTATCATTTCTCGTATTTCTAATCCTATCAAAGAAAATTAATTTTATATATGTATTATATAAATTATATATACATCAGATATAAAAGCATAAAAAATGAATGATATTATATTAATATTAAATACCGGTGAAATGTTGATGAAGATAAATATGTCTTCTAACCGGCATCGTCAATTTTTTCCCTCTAAATTTACGATAGACCAAAAGTAAATCTAAAATAGTGTCAGCGCCATAAGAATTAACTCTTCTGTAACCATATAGGGCAGATCTTTCGTCGACAACACGACCACGTTGTCTCGAACAGGCATTTATTTTAATCATTACTTCCCTAATATTATCATCCATAGCCTCTTTAATGTCACTGTGAATTCGTCTTCTGGGATTGAAATCGGCCAAACTGTATTCCGATTTAGAAATGAAATCCCATGGGATAACTTCATCGCTTGTGGTTGGTTTGAACGTACGAAGTCCAACAGGAACACCTATTTAATAAAATCAAATGTGTTTGTTTTTTATTTTTAAATATAAAATATCATATAATTATTATATTATTATTAAATAATGTTAGAGAAAGTTCATTGGTGCAAATATCATCTCAATATTGTCGTCCTTGAACATGATCTCCCGCATTCGCGACCCTACGTTGTCGTACTCCCATTTCGTTAAGATTCATTCTAATATTATCTTCCCACCTACGTCTTCTTATTGGTCTACACAATGGTATTTCTCTCCCTCACCTCACCCCACCCCATTAGGTTTACCAATTAGTATTTTATATGCAATAGGATCCTAACGTAACCCTGCTGCTGCTGCCCATCTTAATCGACCCGATTTTATAACGTTAATAATATATTCCGTATTATTGTTATAATTACGTGTAAAATATCATTAATTGCATGATTTTTTTCAATTCAATTCAATTCGGGCACATTTTACATCATCGATGATTATTTTCAAAGTATAATTTATCTTCGAACATAATCAATTATGTATAATTCTAGCGTGTAACCGAAAAAGATCCACATTTACGTTGTCGATAAAATAATCTTCTAAACAAAATCCGATAGATTTCGAGAGGTAAGAAATGATTAATAATTTATTAAAGGAAAAGAAAAAAAAATGATGGTTAATCGAATGGTAGCATGACATTAACCTGAATTATAAATATAACAAAATGAGGTCATAAGTAATCAACATAAATTACGTTGCCAATAAAAATGGTATTAGACGAAAGCAATAATCGAAGTATTTGATCTTTTCAGTAGACAAACTGTGACAGACCGTGTCCGTATATCCTTTCTTTCTAGTCGCGTCAGACTAACAATCAGTTTGCATAGAGTAATCATGCAAAGTGGATCTATTAATAATGTGTACGTGTGCGTGATGAAATACAATCGTTCTTGAAATGATTGGCTTAATTGAATTACAGATATCTGCCTGGTTAAAGAACGCTTTCAAGGCTGTTTTAAAGCAATGACTTTACTAAAGATTCAATATCTCTGACGAATATTCAGAAATATAATCTAAGATTTACTTTTTTAATATATAGTTTTTGTATATGTTTTTTATTTTTGTGTGTTATTTCGATTGATTTATTTAACAATTTATTAAAATCATTTACCTAATGTCTCCGTGTCACCAGGATAATCCTCGGAATAAGGATTAACAGGAAAAAGTGGTACACCAATGGCAACTTCATAATTTTTCAATTGATCATGATTTATACCCAATTCTTCAATCATCGAATAGATATCCCTTTGCAATTTTATTTTGTCTTGTTGCAAATCTTGTATTTTTAATCCCTATAAACAACAAATATATATATATATATTTTGTGTAGATAAATATAAATAATTATAAAATTGATCATTGTAACGAAATACAAACCCTCATATAATTATGAAGTCTGTACATGTACGGAGAACTTTTTATAGGATGTAAAGTAATGGCACGATGTACTTCCTTTCTCTTGAGATTACCCGTAAACGCCTGATTTCCGCTGCTATTATGATAAAAAATTGATTGCATCTGTAATACAAAAATATAACTAATAATATTATATACATAAAATATTTTGAAGTGTTTCTCCAAGTTACTAAATCAAAAAAGTTGACAATGACTTCTTCTTCTTCTTCTTCTTTTTCATCTTCTTCTTCTTTAATTTTTTTGTTGTTGATATTAAACTTTGCAGATGTTAAAGATCGAGAAGAATAACTCGATACGGTTACTAGGTTAGCAGGGTACGATTCGCTTGTACTTAACGACTAACATCCTCATCTGTGCATTGTACCTTCCGAGTTAACTCAATGATAGCGTACCCCGTATATGATGCAGATGCGTGGCATATGTATTTAAGCCAGTGGTAATATGTATAGTACATTCTATGTACGTGGTATTATGTTATTTTCTGTCTCCATTAAATTATTACGAACTCGCGTGTTCTCAAACCTGATACACAGTATATGGAAGATTACTACTTCCTGGTCTTCTACATTGCGAATTTACCACTACAATGATTATTATATTGTTCCTTACAATTTTTACATATACCTATGCTGATTAGAATGATTAATCATTTATTATTATTATTATTATACGGATAAAGAAGACAATGAAGATGAAGAAGATCAAGATGAAGATGAAGAAGAAAGAAGATAATAGATTTTACTGGAAATAAATATCAAGTGGATTTCTTTTTTTATTATTATTATTATTATTATTTGATCGTTAAATAATTTTTAACGTAATTTGTTTTACAAGTAAACATAGTTTTTTCTTTTTTTTCTGTCGTGATAAGATATAAGCACCGCGAACGTTTAATGAGATTCCAGTTTGCAGTGACCAACAAATTAGTCTTGGCGTATAAGAATATATATTCACGCGTGGTTAGCACATATGTCAGAGATTAAACGAGAAGAAAAAGAAAAAGAAAAAGGATAAAGAAGAAGAAAAATAAGAAGAAGAAGAAGTTGAAGGGAGACTGACTAAAATAGATAGACTTATACTAAGGTGTATAAGAAAGAAACCTAGAAGTATAGGACCCTTCCAAGAAATGAAAAAATGAAAATAATCTGTGAGACTGGATTTATCGAATTTAGTTTCAGATAAATATTTTTTTTTCCAATCTATTAATGAAATTTTAAAGATACTTACACATATTCGTATACTAGAATTATTTTAAAAATCCGCAGGTTTTTTATTTTTCACAATATATATGTATATATATATATTGAAAAAATAAGTCACGAACATTTTAAATAACATTTATATATTATATATATATGCACGTATGAGATAAGTAATGTTTAAAAACAATTTCAAAGTTTATTTCGTAATAACAAAATAAAGTGATATATTTCGATAATCGATATATTTTCTCAAATTAACAATGATAGTTTTAAGCCTAACCCTTTCTCATTCTGCGTCTTAATTGCTATGTATGTGTGTGTGTGTTATCTTATTTATAAAGTAGTTTAGTTTTAGGCTAAAAGAGGAATAAAGGGGAGAACGGGGATCGAGACCTTGAGAAAGTGATCCGAATATCTTTCTCGATTTCAACATTCTTTATATGTCTTTTTAATAAATAAAATTCTTATATATAATATCTTTTTTTTAAAAAAAAAATAAGAATTATTTAATATTACACGCGTCTAATATATATGTTACCGTCATAGCCGGAAATCCGCCATTGCTAATAATTCCTCGGCATTCTCATCAATGCAAAAAGATATTCTACGTGTAGACAAAAGAGTGTACTTTAATTTAGTATAAAAATCATTAAAATCCGCTTACTAAAAGTATAAAAAATATTTACCGAAACTTTTCAAAGAAATTGCAAAGATGCACATTTTACAGCATTGGATTCACAGATATTTTCTGCACTTTACATGCTAAATTTTTAATTCGATATGGTGTTCTACGCGTAGACAAAAGAGTGTAACATAAATATTTGATAATATAAATGAAATAATTATAATTATTATCACATATCAATTATAAAATTCTGATGAAATTCTCTTATCGAGTATAATTCGTTTATTTGAAAAACTAGTTCAGTGACCCAGTGGTATATTTATAGCCACGGAACTACTAATCGATTTACTTCGAAATGATCTCAATCTATCTTACAAAATCGTATATTGTATCATATTTCACGTCAAATTTATTGTTAAAATCTAATTAATTGGAAAATTTCTAAATTATCGATAAATATATTATCGAAGAATATAAAAATTAATTCGTCTTTTTATCCAAATAATAAGTTTATTTCTATAAAAATGTGATTATAGTGAAAATACTTGTTGAAAATATTTTCGCAGTTTTATCAAGAGAGAAAGAGAGAGAGAGAGAAAGAGATAAAGTAAGAGCAGATAAGGTTTATCTAAAGTTATAGTATATATATATATAAGTTGAAGGAATTACCTCGTAGCTCCAGGTGCAAGGAATCCCAGCATATTTCTGAACGCATCTACCAATTTCAACGTCCTCGTGCGTTGTATAAAGGTGTCTCAAACAATATTTAATATGAGGAACTATTCTTTTAAGCGTTTCCCTCGATATAACAATACCAGGACCACCCATGCAGAAGTTTTCATCGTATTCGAGAGAAAGTAATCCAAATTCTTCTGAATTACCTCTACCGGCTTGTCCAATGTACATCGGTTTCCTCGAATCGACAGACCTAAGAAAACTTTCCAAACGATCGGTCCTAACGTAAACGTCATCGTCCGCTCTGAAAAACCATTCGAAACGATTCCCATAATGATTCCACATGTATTGTAACATCATGAATGATTTTTTCTGCGGTGGATAACTATCGTCGACTCGGTTTAACGGCACCAATGGTAAATCGGGACAATTATTTGGCACCGTTGAACTTTCCGATGAGAAAAATGCTATTTTACCGGGTAATTCTTGACCCCAAGTCTCGTAAACTGCTTTAGCCCTCGTATCGAGATATTTTTTCGCAGTCATAACACCAACGAATACAAGACTGTCTGAGGAACTGTTGATATGTTCGTTGTCCGACAATTTAGGCATATTTCGCACTGTAGGTCCTATTTCTTCCTCCATTGAATAATTTCTTCTTAACGCGGAAGAAATTGTTGACAACGACAACGACGATGAGAAGGAGGAAGAAGAATAAGAAGACCAACCGGATCGTTGAATATTATTGTTTAACACGAGTATCCGATAACCACTGATCAGAAGACCGAACACAAGACCCACCGTAAGGCCCAGAACGGCACTAGCCAGGCCACGTCTCCTGCGCATCGCTGAACTATACGTCACCTCTCCCATTCACTCTCTTCTAGAATTTGTCTAGCTCCGTCTCGGTTCGTCATCATCGTTCTCCTACACGCCGTTGATCTTCTTTTGGTTATCCTAATAGCTGCCGGTTCTGGATAATATCGTTCCTCTTTCGACGATCCCATTGTAAATTTTACTTCTAAAATTATAAACAAAAACAAATAAAGAGAATTTATTTTACGATCAAATATATGTATCAATTTTCAACGATTATTTTTTGTATATATATTATGTTATATATTATAGTCAATCAACCTGCTCCTTATTTGTTAATTTATACTTAATATACGTAAACGTTGTTTTTTGTGTTTTGAGTTTTGTTTTTAATTAAATATTATAATTATTTTTCTTTAACAACCAATAATAATTCGATTATATTAAATATTGTCCATCAAAACGACGTTTTTGTTATCCACTCGGAATACGAACTTTCACCCTGATATACTTGCGTAACAAAAAGAACATTGTACTTTTAATCTATTGTTTAATCAATTTTTTCACAACGATCATTTTTGTTAGATCTTTTTCTACTAAAAGAAATAATTGTGGGTGTGTGTTTTTGTTTTTTTTCTTTTTAAATATATATCTGTTATATGACACCACGCGTTAAAATAATTAAAAATGATTCGAAAATAAACGTGTGATTGGAAACAAGACTAACAATAAGAGAATCAATTAAATACTGTATACGGTAAGGAGAAAAGAGAAAACCGGTTTCAGCCGAAAGTTAGACCCTTGAGACAGAGTCGTGCCTATCTCGAGATAAAACGATGTCGTGTCTCATAGGTTTTGTACTAATACACTTTTGTAAATACCATATATACGTATGCATATATGTATAATAAAATTGACAATGCAAATTACCGTATTTCTTTTACTTGGAAACCGATAGATATTGTTTGAAGAAAAATCAAAAAGAACCAAAAAAAAAAAGACATGTGCAAATTAAACATGACACAAGGTTCTTCTTTTTAAAAAAGAAAATAATAAATGATCATTGATATATAGACAAAAGAAATGTTTATATTAACAATAGTTAAACTATTAGATGGTGTAACGATTAAGTATGGATTAGAATTGTTGAATATATTCGACGAAATATATCAATTTGTTAATTATCTAAACGTTTCACACATTCCAAGATAAATTATTTGATCTAAATTTTGTGTTTGATATATTTTATAATTTATTTCATTTTGAAACATTATCCTACCTTGAATTTATCGTAGATTCGAGATTCATGATTTCAAAGAAAACGTTCGTCAGATTTCCAAAAGGGTCGGGTGGGGAGATGAGGGGGGTAGGAGAGTTTAGAGAAGGAAACGAAAAGTGAAATATTACTACCCCAGAAAAAGGTTGATATATATATATATTGGAGGAACTACACTCGTTGAAATAGAAAATAGTTTTCTCAATCTTGTCGTAGGATATTTTAACGTTGAAACGAGCGTCTCGACGAAAGGCGATCGACTGGTTTAGTCATACGGTGGCCAGCTTATTAGGAGGCACCGTTGCCAGTATGTTTTGTTTTCTTACCGTTTCTTCGTCGCTATTGGACAAGTCCTACCACTTGTGTATCGAACGAAATCTCGGAACGGTACGATTCTTATTGAAATGAGCCGACTGACTACCTGCTGTTTACACAGAAGACGTTCGAAACCTCTTACAAATTTGCAAATGCATATATATATATATATATATATATATATATATATGTATATATACTCTCGTTCATGCGTAAATACTAACGTTAGAATATTCTATTAGGTGTTCAAACAAATTAGTCATTTAATATTCCCATTCATGCGCTTAATCCATTTATATACGTTCATCAACNAAGAATTATTTTTGGAAAATACAAGACAAATTTTATATTCCTTATAAGCAATATACATATAACATACAATATTATACAATATATATATATATAAGATATAAATTATTAATATAAATATTTTTGGGGAAAATACAAGAAACATTATTGAAAAATTTGTATAAGAAAATAATATTATTTTTTTGAAGGATTATATATTTATAAAAGTAAAGAAAATTCAACGATCCTAAAAATGTTGCAAATGCATCAAGAAATATTACTATAGATGATCCCTTTCAGGATGATTTGAAGGAGTGGCTTTGAAACAATTGTCTATTACATGACCTCGAACGAAGACCAGTTGTTAATTGTTCCCACAGACGATGAGAACAAACTAGTCGAATGCCCTAACGCGGAATCATCTGAACAGAGTTCACGCTACTGCCTACAGCAGATTGTCCGAGTAGCTTCAAAAAGAATGATCAAAAAACGCAACGTTTGTTTTTTTTTCGATCAAATGATCATTGATACAGACAGTCTCCTTGCTCAACTTTTCCTACAACCGATGAATGCTTGCTTCACGGTTCACAGAACTGTTCTTCTTTTTATGCTTCATTAAATTTATGAATGCTTTCGAGAGAACAATCAATCGAGTCTTCTTTCATGCTAAAAAGAATGAAAGACCGGCTTTGACGATACTTTTTTATATATATATTATATTCTAAATAAAATATCGCGAATATATAATCTTAAATAATGAATATTATGATACGCGAGAGCTTTAATAAATCATCGTTGTGACAAAATATTTCTGCAACGATCAGTTTGAAAATTATACGAGTGGCTCGTCGTAATATGCAACGTTAACTAAAAGTATTAAGTTCAAAGTAGAAAATCCGGATTAACTTGGAGTACGTTCCTGGAACGATAAACCACAAAATTCTTTTCTTTTATCGTACGAGAGGAGGCATAATGTTTCCGATTTACAAACCGCACGTGGTTTGTTCGAGTATCCATCCCATAGCGAGTTATTACCTATTTCCATTCAAAATTACTTTCCATCGGAAATGTAATCGTATTTTTTTAAACAAAACAAAGAAAAGAAGCTGAAGAATATAAAAATCGATTTAAACGACAAGAATATAAATCCCATGACACGGTTATGGGTGTGTATCGAATAATCGGAAAAAAAGAAGAAGAAATATTTCTTCGTTTTAACATATATATAATATTATGATCGTTAATAATAAAAAAAGAAAAAAAACTCACGTATTTGGGGTAGAGTAGCGAAGGTTGTTCGATATTTTGACGATAACGATAAATATTATGAAAAAAGTATCCGCACGATTGAGAAAATTTGCACGCTAAGAGAATAAACCGTGGTAAAATTACCCTGGCTCATGTTTGCAAGGAGAGCTCGCATACTCGTACGTTGTAAGAACTGGTCGCGTGTTAGAATCGTGGTAGAACAACGAACACATACTACGAACAGGATGCCACCACGATCGCGACTGAACGAAAGAACGAACGAACGAACGGGATCGTTCTTCGTCCAACCGGCGACTATTCCCCGCTAACCGGCTAAACCATGAGTAGGGATGGTTAAAGCCGAAAACCTACGTGGTTCCCCTTAATTTGTCCGAAAACTGATAAGTTACGAAGAAAGCAGCTTATCTCGAAAGAACTACGCTGAAGTAGCGTTATTTGATAATGATTATTTCAACATTTTTGGTAGCCTCTCTGTCTGTCTCTCTTTCATTTTTATTTTAATAAATTAAATATTATCATATTTCTTTTTTATTTGTGAGAAATTTTCTATACCAAATGTGAAAATTTTTAATTTAATTTTAATTTCTTTTTTATTGCGAATTAATGATAACAATTTTATATTATATTATCTTTAAAAAAAAGAAGCTATTTGCATTAATTGAATGAATTGATAACATATTATGTATTACGCTTGAGAGTTCCGGATACTTTTTACCTTGTCCCTGACCTCGGCAACCTTGAAATCTTCGAAAGCCTCCAATCACCCTTTTGACCTTCTCCGGTCGATGATCGAAGAGTTGTGTTACCGTTAGCCAGATAATTCGACGTTTTATTCATTTACATTCCAAGCATTACCGCTTTGATATTACGAAGATTTCTATATAGACAGTATATTTTATATTTTTATTAATTGCTTTTATAGTGTAATACAAATTTACCTTTTATTAATATTCTAAATAAAAATAATAAGTAATATATTTATGATAATATAATTATTCTTGATGGAATAGAGATAGTTCATGATTGAAGGTTTATTATCGATCCAATTTGTATCATTGTAATAAAATATTCTTATATAATTCATAATTATATAAATATTGTTTAAAAATCAGATATAAAAAATATATATTTTTCAATTCACCTTGACTATATAAATTTTTATAAAAATGTACAATATGACAACCGCTTATATGCGACACACGATAGGCCATAAATGGGAGCCTATTAAAGAACACGTGTTTACCATATAAAAATAACCGTCGATTATAAATGCATCCGTGCATTTGAATTAAATATATAATTTTCTAAGTGTGTGTTGTGTATGTTCACACAACAGATATAAACGTGTACATCAATAGATATTGCAATTGCGAACTACGGAGTAAGAATAGTGCAAAACGTTATGCTATAGTTTTGCGTCCGTAAAGCAGGAACTTCCGTCGAAATGAGAAGTGAATTGAACAACCTTTACGCTTCGTAAATTTCACATTATCTTTCATTGGTTTCGTTCAATTCTCGATCGAATGAAATACGAGGAAATTAAGATTGACGAACTAGTAATGTGAATATTTTATTTGACAAACGTTTAAACTTAAATTAGAAATTTCTGAAATAATAAATCGATAAAATTCGTTGGAACAGTATTATGTTGGAGAAGTTATAGTACACTATGAAACAAGCGATTAAAGAAATTAATATTAATTTCATCATTTCTATATCTATATAAATTAATTAAATTATAGATTATTAACCCGTACATTCAATTTAATATAAATAAATAATTTCTATATTGAATAGATAATAAAATATAAAATATTTTGTAAAATATACTTTAATAATTACCACTTAAAGTAAA